GGGCACAAGAAGAGGCCCTCGCTCTTAATGTCATCCAGATGGAGGATGAGGACAAACTAATCCATCATTTCTTAACCCTCTTTTAAGATTCTAGTTTAAATTGCAATCTCACACCAGAGTTAAAAATGGTATATTCCGATATCCTACGGTAGTAGTATTATGAAAAACAGGATATAAATTTAATTTTGTAATAACTTACTTAGATATTATATATATATATATAAACGATCAAATGTTGGGGATGAAAATGATTATTGAAGAAAACAAGAAAATGAGAAGATTAAGCGTATCTTTCTTATAATGGGAAAGGGACTTGACAGGAGAAAGCAGATGAGAATTTAAAGAGGAGCACACAACACTTGACACTTGATAAAAAGAAGAAAGTTTTTAAAATTTTGTAAAGCATTTAATAATTAATTAAAATCAACTATAATATTAGTATTTAAGGGCCAAGTGGAGATTCTTTTGTCTTGTTAATTTGATAATTTGGGTCCACAAAAATAAAGCTAAACTATTAAAATAAATGGAAATTTCTAAAGTTGGAATAGAAAATAATAATTAAAAACAAAAAAAATTATATCCATATATATAATTGGTTCAGCATCACTAAAATATTTATTTCATGGAACCCACATTATATTTTCCCTCAAATCATACAAAAGGAAAATCTTTGGCAAATGTTGAGAATCAGATGCAAACAAACAGCGACACAGAAGATGTGAAATTAAACCATATTTGTCATCATACCATTCTCTCTATATCTGTATAATATATCCACACACATTATAAGGCCGGGAAAAAGGTTTTGGGGAATCAAAACGAAAAAATAGGTGTTTGAGTTATATCATATTGCAGCTGGCCTTTAGGAGACCAGTAACCCATCTGTATAAAACTAGACACAGAATGCTAAATGTGCTTACTGGTTTCTTAATCCATAATTATTACCAACAAAGATGTCATCTTCACTTAACAATTGAAAGTTACCATATCTTTATTATAATTACATGTAATATCACAAATATATATCTGTTGCATGTGTGTGTGAGTGTGAATAAAAGTAGACAAGGAAAGCTGGAATTACTAGGTTTATGTAGATTGCTGCAGAAGGAGTGTTTGTTAAGGATTGCAGGTTCTTTCAATTATGCAGGAAAAAGTAAATTTTTATACAAAGTGGAAGTGGTGTAGCAGTAAAACATAAGTTGCTTTTCTTCCAACATTTTTTTGTGTGTTTATCAGATCTATATATGTATGTTTAGGTATGTTCAACCAAAATAGATGAATCTAAAGGAACAAACTAAAAACAAATCGTTCTCGAAAAACCTAATTGAGTTTCTTCTTCCTTTTTAATGGTAATTTTCATTTTATTATATACGAAAACGTGAAACGAAATATTTGTCAATAATGTTTCTAGGTCCAAAATAAATAAATTTCCAATCACGTACACTGGACAAAACAAAACTTACTCGTTGCAACTATGTTTCTTACCAATTGCATGCAATGCAGCAACTTCTTTTCGTAAAAGTAAGGTATCAGCATATCTACGAACCTTACATTAATTCAATATATGCAAATCAAACTTTGTTGCATCAGTACTGTCCTACAATACACTTGCAAATAATTAGCAAATTCATGAGTAGGCCATAAACTAAAACTTCTTAAAGATATTATCGATTTTTTTTAAATCAAATAGAATTCTAAATCTCAATTTGAGTATACAACAGGAAAAAATGCAGTGAAAATATGTACGTAGAAGAGTTATAGAACATAAAAAAAAAAAAAAGATTATGTTAAATACATCCATAGAATTGAATCAACTTATTTGATTTCGATATATATATATATATATATATATATTAGAAAAGCGGGAATGCGATTAAAATTTTGTTGGGATGCAAAATGATAAATGACAAGACAAGACAATGGCGTTGTTTTATTGCATGTGAAGAGATGTGATGTTGACTTGTATGACTTGACCTCTCAATCTCCTCCTCCCTCTCTCTGTCTCTCTTCTGATGTTCCTCTATTTTTTTTTTCTTGTTTCATTTTCGTATACTTTTTCACTAATCCGAACATTTTAAAGCATAATTTTTGCTAATACTAGTAACATTATTTTTTTTTTAAATCAGAAACGCACCAAAATACGCATAGCGGAGAATCTTGAGTTCCATTGACTTCAATTCTCTAACTTGCCAAAATTAATAATACTAATACATTATCATTGGCTATATATATTCATATTTACTACTAGTAGTAGGTAATAATGACATGAACCTTTTTTTTAAATCTATCACATGAGAGGTCTCTTCCTAGTTTTATACGATACAGTTATGCGAAAATAGCGGCTTTCAAAAATAACGGTACGGCCGAGGCGTGTTACTTCAAACCCAAACAGACTCCGTTTACTTCAATTCTGTGTCTGTCTCACCTCTCGACACGTGTGATCACTTTTATCTGACTAGCTTCTGCTGTCTATCACCATTCACCACACCCGCCCCCTACTCCAATATTATTCCTATCTAATCACTGTGTTATAAACCAAATTTTATATTCTGTTTATCAATCTTTAGTTAAGACCAAACCTTTTTTAATACTGTTCAATCAAAAAATTATTCAATATATAATAAGCACATGGTAGAATACGAGGATGGTCTCCATCTACGCCACACATTCTTTGCAATGACCTAACAAACCAAGTCCACCCACTACTTTTACGTGAATATATAATTAGCAAGACTTAACCGAATTAAAAAGCAGTTATGCAAAAATACTATGTACGGTTCGGTTGGAATGTGATGAATACTAATTTTGTTGTAAAAGCACTGACTTCCACATGACATGATTAGCCCTAGCTACAGCTTAAGTCTCAGTCTCTTTTTTTATGCGTCTCTCTCACTCAATGTTAATGTGCAGTGCCAGTGGTATTAAATGAACAATGGTGTGAGCTTTTGCATATATTAACCAGCTGAGAGAGTGAGAGACCTTTGTGCTGAACCAAAACCTCCTCATGAAAATTCCTTTTGTTTCAGACGATAGGGAGAGAAAGGAGCTAGCTAGAGAGATAGAGAGAATATGACAATTGAAACTTGGGAGTTGGAGTTTAAGAGAGATACCTGAAACTTTCTGTATTACTGTGATGACTGTGACCATTGGGTTTTTGCTCTTCTCTATATATCAGTTTCTGCTCCCAGGGTCTTTCTTGTCTATTTCTTCGAGTTTTGTATTTTTGCCACTTAACTCTTTTTTGATTTATTTTCTCATCATTTTCACTGTATATATATATATATAAAATAAGATTTAAATTCGACTATATTTTCCTTTTTGTATTTTTTTGGGGTCAACATCTCAAGATTTATTTTCTTACAAATTTCGTAGTATCTTCAAATTTATTTGTTTGACAAGACATATACTTATTTGATTTGAGATCATAACAATAAAAAAGGTACTTGTGTCATTGATACTACCCCCACTCAGTAACAGTTTTCTTCTTTTTTTCTTAGCTCTTAATTTTATAATTTACCATATCCATATGCAAACACATTCTTATAGACCAATTATACTTTTAAAATGAAACTAAAATCACTAGCCACAATCGCCATGAAATGTTCGATGATGAGCTCTCTCTGTTTTTTTTTTTTTTTTTTTCTAATCAACCTGTATTTGAAAAGTTCATGTAAATAATAAATAATTAATAGATATTAGTTCATATTAATTAATTGAAATCAAGTCATTTAGTACAATAAAATCGATAGTCTTCTTCTTATGTTTGATTTCGTGAGAAGAAAACAGAATGGTTTTTGAAGACAAATAATATATATATATATATATATATATAGATATAGGGTTATTTGCAACTATAGTATAAATTCATCAACCGTACAAGATAGATAAAGTATATGTATATCTGATATACACTGATACACACTTGACCGATAGAAAATAATTATAGGGTTATATTCTGCAAATTATACAGTGATATAAGATATGTTTTCAAAAGATATACAATATATTTGGCATCGTACAAATCACAGATTCATATGAATTGTAGTCATAACAGCATTCGTATTATTTATTTGAATTGCTATATATACCCCCGAATTATATGTAGTATGATGTACTGATGTATCCTATAGTAAAAGATTTTTGTACCACAATTATTCGATTTTGTAACTTTGCATTATATGGAAAAAAAAAACTTTGCACCATATTGTACACGTGTTATAAAGATGCTTTTGATTTCCAAGTGTTGATGATCAATTTAGAATCCAAGGAGAAAACAAATTTAATCCAAAACATCAATAATAAGTATATATATATTTTTAATAATGTAGACTATATATAGTAATGTTTCATTTGTGAACACTACACGACTAACAAATAAAAATTTCGATAGGTAAAAAAATTAAATAAAAGAGTCAATGACTCAAATTGTTAACTTTTGTTTAATTGAGGGGGCAAAAATAAAAGAAAGGTAAAATAATAATGGCCCGACAAATAAAATTCGACTTGATTTAATGAGGATTTACCATTAAATTTGGTTGTCACTTTCATAGACTTTTTTCACCAAATTTATCAGATTCCTCCCACTTTACAATTCCATTTTTGGGAATTTCATTATTGAAAAGTATCAGTTTAATTTAATAATGAATAATTAATCTCCTCTTTAATTATTTACCACCCAACTACTCATCACATATATGTAAGTCTATGTTTTTGTTTTGAAATTAAAAAGGTACTTCCAGACTTCCAGTGATCTCCAAAATGCCTTATATAAACTGATTAATGGGTCATTTGAGTTTGGTCTATTGGGCTAAGGAGAGTCCATAAAAGCCCATCTAAACTGATGTAAGTAACCACTTTCTCTAACAAACTAAACTAACTAGCATAAATATTAAACCCAAAAGGGCCTCTCCCGCGAAAGTAACTGCTTTTAGATCAATTCAAGTTTGACCCGCTTCTCTCGAATCCTTTCTAACGTATTAATTGACAGAGACATCGGATCCTTCAACACCCCCAAGTTAAAAAAAGATTAAAGCTTTTGCACAAAGGAACCACCGGAAATTTTTTTTTTTTTTAAATGGCGAAATTATTCATCAAGCAAGCAGAGCAATACGCAGCAGCCCGACCAAATTATCCGATCAAACTCTTTGAATTCATAGCATCGAAAACTCCGAGCCACGACCTTGCTTGGGACGTAGGCACTGGTAGCGGACAGGCCTCACGATCGGTAATAGTGTTCTTCAATTTCTAAATTAACTTCCAATTTTCATGTGTTAGTCTTAGAATTTTGGACTCAAACTTCTATATCATCTATTGGGTCTACTACTCTTTTGATCAAAATTATTAGGTTTGGTAGACTTTTGATTCAATATCAAATTGGGACCGATTTATTATAACATTTTTTTTTCTTTTAGCTGGCCGGAATATACAAGAACGTAATTGCTACGGACACGAGCTGTAAGCAACTTGAATTTGCTGCAAAGCTTCCCAACGTGCGTTACGAGCTCACTCCACCGACGATGTCTACATCGGAGATCGAGAAGCTAGTGGCACCAGAATCATCAGTCGATTTAGTGACAATCGCACAAGCTCTTCACTGGTTCGACCTCAAGACCTTTTACAGCAACGTGAAGCACGTGCTCAAGAAACCAAACGGAGTAATCGCCGCCTGGTGCTACACCAACCCCGAGGTTAACGCCGCCGTGGACGATGTTTTTCAGCGGTTTTACGATGAGAAACTTGGTCCTTATTGGGATAAAGCGAGGAGGCTTGTGGAGGATGGGTACAGAGGAATTGAATTCCCCTTCGAGAAGATCGAAGACGATGATGAGTCAACGGAAAGTAAAAATTTCCCGGTAAAGTTCGTGACGGAGAGAGAAATGGTGTTTCAAGAGTTCATGACTTATCTGAGGTCATCTTCGGCATATCAGACGGCTAAGGAGAAAGGTGTGGAGCTTTTGACGGCGGAGATGGAAGGAGAGTTTGCTGATTCCTGGAAAGAAGATGGGATTGAGAAGAAAGTTGTTAGGTATCCGATTCATTTGCTGATCGGTAGAGTTGGACAACACCGTGTCTGAATTGATATTTTCGTCCAACATCTTGTCGTCACACGCAAGAGAGACACTATTTTTGTTTTGTTTTTAATCGATGGACAAAATAAACGTGACTCGTGTTTGCATTAGATAGGAAATGGGACCATTAATAAGTGACGATGATAGAAGTTGACGTTAAGACAGACCCGTGTTCATGTTTTATGTTTTGTAGTTCCAGCTTTCCTGGGGATCTCTAATCTTTCGCTGAGCCACACAATGACACACCGCACACGATTTTTGTCCTCTTTCGCTCTTACCCGCACGCACGACTGTACAACTTTAAAATGGTTACTACGTCGTACCTACTGTAGTTCCCAACCTGTTATACTAATATTACGCTAAATTATAGACTTGTTTTACATGACAATGGACGTACAATGGTATAATTTGGGAGTTTTAGTGAGGATTTGTAAATACATCGTCAATGCCATATTCCAATTTTTACTCTTCTTAATTACTTTTATCCCAGTTGCTTTGTTTGTGTTTGATACCAACAAGATTGAAAGGAACATGCCGCCTGCCTATCATCAATTTGGATGATGTTTCGTGGCTATTTCCATCCAACAAAAGGCCAAAACGCGTTCACATTTTCGCTGAACTTGGGGAAGATATATATTACAAGCGTCCAAGTATACAATTGTGTGTAGTATATATGCGTCTGAAGACGAGGAAGCATCCCAAGAAGTTTCAAAATTTGTAGCTATATGAAAAGTCATATATCATGTATAGACAGATCCAAAACACCACTATTATTGATAAGTGCAACAAAAGAAGAAAAAAAAAACTCTATAATACCATAATCATCTTGTTTGAACATATAAAACTGAAATAAGAGAATTCGAAATTGAAGACCTTTTTATTCTTTCAAATAGGAAAAAAAAATCGAAACATTTTAGTTACCGAGAGTTAAATCTCATCTCTATGTTAAGTACCATTCGCCGACTAAAATAAAGAGAGCCATGTGGAGTGTACCCTTAATTTAATTAGGAGAATCTCATAAGAACTTGATAATAGAAAAACGAATGTATATAAAACCTATATATATATACTTTCATATTATTTATGTCGTCCCTAACAATTAAAGAATTCATAGAAAGCATTTATACCTCCCGGCAGGGGTATGATTCTTTAAGCACAATCATGTTCCAACGCGTTGCTACTTATATAAATTTAATGGATCGATAAAGTCCAATTTACTAACCAACTAATTATAATAAGTCTTGTGGTGGTCCGAACATTCTACACGTATGTTGTGTGGTTAGGATTCGAGACATCGTGGACCTTGTGGTGCATGTATCTTTCGTTTACTTCCAACTTAGAGTTCGGCGGTATCTATGTAAGGATTTGGAGTAAACAATTACTTGTAAAAAAGGTAAATAGATTCGCATATTTTTTACCTAAAGAAAAAAAGAAGAAGAAACAATGGAGATGGGGAGAAGAGGGTCCATGACTCTATAAGGCCACGGGTTGAGTCTCGAGTGGAGTACAGTTGGTTGGCGCACTTGCTCTTCTCGACAATGTTTTTGTGGACACAAGTCCCTCCAGAAAAAATATGTACCATTGTTCTTTTATTTCTTCGTACTTCAAAATTATAGACCAATCAAACATCGTTAGAAAAAGTGTAACAAATTTTTCGGTGGTTAAATCCTTGAATATAGATTGGTTGACCAATAAAAAAACTTCTGTAATTAGAACGTCGACCAACATGTATGATGTTGTAGTCATAATAGGTTAACCAGTACATCAAATTGTACTATTATGAAATAAATTTTTCTTACAAGATTATTGATAGGCCCTCAACTCCGAGCTTTTCATTTTTGAAGCATTGTTTTCCAAACTATAAACCTAAAATTAACTCTGAATCATTAATCATTTCAATCTCGAAGAGATAATGCATGCTTAATAATTGGAGATAGAGAGAGCTGATTGGTAGATTTTGACTGCTAAGGATATTTCATGCAGATTTTTAGCCGAGATCGAGTCTTTCTCCTACTCATTTACTAGTTTTTTGCCACCTCAAACGCATTATCAAATTCAAAGATAATTACTATTCAAAATTTTGAAAGACTAAAGGATTTTTCTCTCTTTCTTATTTTTAATTGTGAAGATAAATCAAATTTTAATTTTATAGACCAACGGTGAACGTCTTAATTTAGTGCTTTGCCGTCACGATATTAATTAATACCCGCACCGCAAAATAGAGATTACAGTTGTTTATATGGAAAAAGAGAGAGAGAACAAAATAAAGAGAGAGCAATGTAGTGATGTCACCATCATCAATCAAACAAATGATAATGATGAATCATTCATCGCTGCTTTGAAGCTCCATCATGCGGCAAAAGTCTTCGAAGCAAACGAAACCGTCGCCGTTCCTATCAACCGTCGCTATCATACGGATACACTCTTCTAACGTGCACCGTTCGTCTCCGATCACTCCGAACACTCTGTGCAACTCCTCCGCCGATATTTTCCCGTTACGATCCGCGTCAAAGAACTCGAACACCTCTCTCAGCTCCTCCGTCTCTACGGATCCTTCCCCGGACGTTCCGGCTACACGGCTCGCGAGCTCTTCGAGGCGTATAGAATCGCCATCGTCGTCCCCGTCGACTTCTTTAAGCATTAAGCTCACCTCCTCTTGACTCGGCGGTTCAGGACTCAACCTGCTAAGCAACGCCGCGAGATCTCCTCTAGAGACAACGCCGTCGTGGTCACGGTCGATGAGTTTAAAGGCTTGGACAAGCTCGGTGTAAAAGTCGCCAGAGTTGTGAGGGAGGACACTGATGGGAGTGGCGGTTGGGCCTGGTTTGAGGTTACCGTAGGATCCGTCGGAGGAAGAGGAAGAAGCATTTGAGCTGAAGGAAGAAGGCTCAGATCTGGAGACGGAGGCTTTTGATTTGGAGCGGAAGAGACGTTTGGGGCTGATGCGGCTGAGGCTAGCGGCGAGCTTCATATCTAAGAAGAAGAAGAAGATAAAGAGAAGAGGAAAGAGATGATTGAGTATTGAATATTTGGTTACTTGATCTCTGGTTTGAGAGGAAAGAACGAGGAAGGAGGCTATTAAATGGGCTGAGGAAGAGAGAACCCATGGCAGCTTCCACGAAGCTTCGTAGGGAGAGAGAGTCTCAGTGCTTTGATGTTTTTTTTTCTTTTTTCTTTATATACTTCTCAACACTATCATGAATCATTCTTTTTTTTTTTTTTTTGGGAAAATTGTTATTTATTCTTTATTAGGTTGATTGTCATTTATTACTACTATGACTATCCAATTCATTTTTTTCCATATTTAAAAAATATATATATATTTCCGTTTTCTTTGAGACACATTTGCCGTTTTTTATATAGTTTCAACGTATCTATTGGGTAGGAAACAAATATTTATTTAATTGTATATCTACAATAGTTGGGTTTTTTTTTAATAAAAAAAGATGATTTTTCTAATGTAGTAGAGTTCATAGTTGGAGTAAAGTACCAAAAAAATGTAATTGTCTAATAACTACATAGGATTTAGTATTTGTGTGTTTTGGATTTCGATATATTAAGTATGGTTTCTGACATCGTCACAGAGATGCAGGTGCAGTGGTCGTCTAGTCATGCCTCAAGAACCTAATTTTCCTTTATTTTATTTTTTAATTGAGATTAATAGTTGCGGAATTTAGAGGATGTTTTTGTAAGAGTATTGTTTTATTAATTTGTACTTGGCGTAAAGTTTGGGTTATGTCTCTTTTTCGTGACACGCGAAAGCAAAAACAGTAAGAAATTTGTGGTCTCTTTTATGTAGTCAATCAATATATTTTTTCTTTTCCGAAAAAAGGCATATTGTGTGTGTAAATTTCTCAACATTTGCATGAGCCTTTTTTTAGTGCTTAACCTCAGCGTGGCCAAACACGTTGTGTGTTTCTTTCTTTTTTGTTTTTCCGTTGTATATAGGAACCAAAACTTTCGACAGCATTAGCAAAACAATGTTAAATTCAACAGTTTCGGCTATATATAAAAAAATAGGGATCATATCTACACAACGTAAGACGCACTACTTGGTACGGCCGTGACCGTCTTTGGTTCTTAATAAAATAAAATAATAATATAAATTTGTGTGTAGAGAAATGAGTACACAATTTGATAGAACGGAACCGAATAGTTTACAACTTTATATCTCTTGATGACATTCGATCGATGATAATATAAAATCTGCACTGGATTGATACGAGACAAATTAATAAAGTTTTTTTTGCTTGCTTTTCTTGCCATCTCAGTATTTGAAGAAACTTTGATCAGGTTAGTATAATGGAATATATAACTCCCCAAGTAGTACGTCTTATGACACTCCCTTCTTGGAATCTCTCTAGTATAGTATAACTCTTTTACGAGCTAGCCCTTTGTCAAAAGAGAAGAAACTCTTTACTTTGATGCTTTTAACTAAACTACACTCTTGTCCCCTGGGATATCAAAGTGATTGCTTCGTGGATGTTGCAGTTTTGGTTTCTGCTTCTGTCTCCGAGAATCGTGCAAGATTTTAAAGATTTATAAAACATGACGCATACATATATAGTGATTCGGATTCATCAAGCATTAGAAGAGTTCACAACAACAATTTTTTTGATTTGTGCGTATATCATGTTTGCGCAAGGACCATGCTATATAATCTACTCGAAGAGATTCATACGGTTCACTGGTCGAACCATTCTGTGACTGAGGACTACGGTTCGACTCTGCATACTACGACCTCAATCATGGTAGGCCACTAGAAGAGTCTTAAATGGCAAGAGTGCCCGTCTTGTCACAAGTCTCAATAAGTGTCTAAATGCTGAGAATATTCCAAGATTATAGGGGGGGGGGGGGGGGGTAAGGTATCAAACAAATCTTATTGTTTATTACTTGTAAACTAAGTAGCCATATAATGTTAACGATTACAAAATCTTTAAACCTCAAGATCGGGGGATGTGACTTGACTCCAGTATGTGTTATTTGGTATAGTCTTATTCTCGTTGCTAAACAGATGCAATCATGCAAACACAAACGACAAATAGGTGTATATCTAAAATGGAACAAGTAGTTGTAGATCAGGATAGCAAAGTTTTTAGCTTTGAGATTGACAATAAGTGGTGCAGTATTGTTTCTCAGCCCAGCAAAGAGCTGGCGTTTTGGGGCAGCAATAACAGCCACTTGCGAACGCATTGTTGCAATCGCCAAGGTAGCATGCAGACATATCGACTTTGTTTGATCTTCCTATCCTCACACCTACACATTTAAGTTGGAAACACACATCAAGTCAACTTTGATGACTCCAAAGCAAAGAGATATTTAGTAAAATATTATATATGAGACAACTAATTATACATACACTGATGTAGAGCAAATAGAGAAAGCAATAGTATGCAGATGAGAGATGCATGCGATGACTTCATGGTTTGAATCTCTTTAAAGGATATGATGTTGTGTTTTCTAGTTATCTTTGTGAGTTGTTGTAACACCCAAAGCTTAATCTTCTATATATATAGAAGAATCAGAGAAGCTTAAATTAGGTAATACAGTATTTAAAGATAGTATATACATATATCCTGCGATCACGATCTTTGAGCTTTTCAAATATTTTGGTTGATTTCTAAGAAGACTGATCTTAGAAATTATGAAACTATTCTCTACTTAAACTTAAACATTTCGCAAGCAAGAGATCAAGCTTTGTCAACAGAGTACCTCTAACTTCAAGCTTTTAACAAAACTACTCTTTTGTTTCCTGGAAAATTTATAAATGATTGATTCATGGATATTGCAGTTCAAAATTCAGCTTCATCTCCCAGGACTATGGAGCTTTCCTAGATCAAAAACATCACGTACGACTTTAGTGATTCGGATATATTAGCATCAAAAGATTGAGTCTCAACAACGTCTAAAAGAATCTTAAGGTATATTACGTGTAAACAAAGCAACCGTACACTGCAACAATACTTCCACAAGAGACGCTCTCGCACGATTTTAAAACCTAAAGAAGGATGCGTATGAGACTTGGACCCAAAAATTGTAATTAGGGGTCGTCTTATCCTTGTAGCCAAAGCCAATCCACATGCAAAAACAAATGAAATACCCCAAAAGGCTAAAACACTAAAACAGAGCACATAATTGGTATAAATAATATTGTTCCCAAATCTTAATATCCTAGGAATCATCAGTTTGTAAGTTGTCTGTACAATTAATGGTATATACAATAGATCATATATAAATAAGGAAATGTTTTGAAAATTCCTGTCAACAGATAAATGGAATGTTTCCATAAGTAAAACAAAATTGGAAATCAACGTTGCTCTATTCTTCTAGTTGTTTCTAGATGAGTTGTTAATGTCAAAGCGTCAGAGGCAGATTAAAGAAGACATTTCAAACCCTAACCAATCTAGACTTTTTCCTCAAGCAAAATTCGTAGAGCCCAAGAAACTTCAATGTCCCAAAATCACTCTGAGCCACCTTTTCCATAATCTATATATATAAAGCAATAAAAAGGAAAATAAACACACGAAATATATATTTAGACGCACATTCACCAAGTTGTTGAGTTTTGATTTGATTTAACATCATTCAATGTCGGGTCTTCTTCAGTTCAATTTTTTCCCAACCGATTTCTATTACCCCAAGCCAAGTCGAGTAGAATGTGTCGACAAGACCAAACCTTGTGTTCAATCAGTGTCGACATACGGATTTAAGAAAGAGAATGCGATAGTTGTCGGGGGAAAGAAGCAAAGTGGGTTGATCCTTTATGTCAACGGCGAAACAAAGCTGTGTGGGTCGTCGCCAGATGAGGTATCTTCAACATTTCTCGAGTCTTGTTCCTCTCATAATTGTGACTTCACCAACTAGGCTTTATTTGCTTGTTTTAGTCATGGTTGTTTTGGATGTTATGCTGTTTGGACTTTTCAAATAGATGTTTGCGATTGGTATTTTAACGTTTGTAATAGAATGAGCAGGATCGTGATTGTGACATAATATTGGTAATGAACTTTTTCATACTAACCTTCTTCATTCCCCCTGATAACAGTTGATATGTCATTTTCATACTAATCTTTTATTCTCCCTGATTAAAACCATTACCTAACAAACAGCAATAATGGAACCAACCCATGTGGCCATGTGGATGCGAAGACCATAACATTAGGTGAAAATTCCACGCGAAACGAATCTATTTCTTTCAATGATGTTCAATACTATAACACAGAGATTTGTAATGAACTTTTTCATACTAATCTACTTGTAATAGTGGATGAACATAAAATCATTGAGATATGATCATATGAATTATGAACACAAAGAGATTTGTTTTTTCTTTAAAACTAAAAAAAGGCAATAAACTATGAGATAGAATAGTGTCTCCCCACCAATTTACATTTCAAGAGTAAAAACGAAACTAAGCCAGAGCGACAAATAGTCAAATAACGTGAAGAACCGAAGAACATAAAGCAGAAAACGAAAGAGAAGGATCGAGAGATCAGCTTTTCCACAAATAAATAAAGGTTTTTGTTTAAGCAAAACCCTCTTTACAATCAAATCCCGAAGCTTATAACGCAGAGAGACTCCACAATCAGAAGCAAGCATCCAAAAGACAGCAACAGCACAGAGCAGCAAGACTGCAAAAAAAAGAAGAAGAAGCAAAAGCATTGTTCAAGAACACATAAACAATCAAAAACCAATAACAACAGGAGACAAAATCACAAGTCTAGTTGCATTGAACATACAATGTATAGTAGTAGTAACCAGTAAATGCAGAATTCACTATAAACAAATCAGATTCACAATCTTTTTAAGTAAAAACCATCAAAGAACAAGAAGCAAAGATAGTAATAATAGTAATAGTAAGCACACACAAAAAGAAAAAGGAAAAAAAGTCAAGATCTAGAGAGGAATATTCAAAGAATCTTTAATGAGCTACCCACATGCAAATTATTCCTAAAGAATAAGGTAATGAAGTATTCAGATACGGAATATAGTCAAGAGATTCAAACAACACCAAAATTCCAATCTAATAATAATAAAAATAATAAAAAAGAAGAAGAGAGAGTGGGTGAGACTGACCATCCTTCTAGAAAGCCAGGACTGTTGTTCTGTTGTTGGTGATGCTGCGGGGGCGGAGGATACTGGGGAGCGTACGGTGGAGGATAGCCTTGCTGAGGATATCCCTGAGGTGGATAGCCCTGCTGTGGAGGATATCCTTGAGGAGGATAACCCTGTGGTGGATACGCATCTTTCGGTGCTGGATATCCCTCCGGTGGATAACCTATATACAATTATACAATTCAGATCCAAAAAAACACGCTACAAAATATAACAGAGCCAGATCTATATTTTTTTAAAAAAATCATATAAAAAGTGATGTGGAATCGAAAACGGAAAGAAGGAAGGAAGACCTTGGGGAGGAGGAACGCCGACGGGATGTTGATTGTATTGGCTCATTGTTCTTGATCTCCTCTTTCTCTTTCTCAAGTGCTTATTAAAGTCGTCGCGGAGAAGAAGAAGATCACACGAACCCTAGAGAGAGAGAGAGAGATCGAACAAGTGGGACGAAACCAAAGTTATAAGAAGAGCGATTGAGAGATGCACAAAAAAGGCTAAAGGAGGAGAGTCTTTTAAGTAAAACGCGTTTTTCCCTTTTTTTTTTTTTTTTTTTGGCAGTTATATTAAATTGTTTCTTGTTTTTATCCTTAACTTTAGCGTTCAATACGATGAAATTAAGCTCTCCTTTATCCTAATTTTAATTTTAATCAAAAACAAGATTCACGCGGTTTCTCCTCTTTTTCTCATTGGTTGTTTTTAATATGTTCTAAAGTTGAACTGTTGGGTTGGGTGTATGAAAAAAAAAATCTAGTGATGCTGCTGAAACTGTCAGTATCTTTACTTTACAATTTCTTCTAATCAAATATTTTAGGTTATCTTGTTCGATTCTTTTGACTTAAAAAACACACACACATTGTAACCAAAGAAAACAACTGTTCAGATTTGTTTTGTGGCATGATTAATTGGAATGTACATTAATATATTCATTAATCTACTTGTAACATCAATATATATCATACAAATATCATTTAAATATCCCCTATTATAGAAGTGTCAAAATGAGTTGAATTTTATGGGTCAACCCAAACCAATTCAATCTATGAATCTAATGAGTTGGAATTTTGGGTATTAATGGATTAATAGATTAAATGGGTTAATGAGTCTAGTGAGTTGGGTTGTAATGGTTTGGATTGAAATGATTTAGTAGATTATCTATGCCCTATATAGTATTTGATGTGTTATATTTCTTCTCCAAGTTGATAACAATTCGTTTAAGCTAAGAAACTCATAAGCCATCTAATTTTTTCTATTCTCTCAACGTGTATTCACATTTTATGGAAAGGCCCTCCTTGTTTCCAATGTGACAAACAATTACATCTCTCAAATTCTTAATTAGATTAAAAGATTAGAATCAAAGATGGCACCTTATTCAAAGAAACTTTAGATCAAGATCAAAACCAAATATATTTACTCACTTGGCCAAAAAAAGAGATGAAACCCATCACACACTTTAAGTCTCTTTAACTAGTTTCTTCACATTCGATGTCATGCACCAATATACTGATCACACATTACTTAAGACCAATGTAGATGCTAGAATCTATTTCTGGTAACGCGTTAAACTCATATATCTCTATTATTGCCATTGAGGTGTGATTTAACCGGAAACCTGGATTGACAACTATATATTATAATCCTAACTCTGTTGCAAACTTATATTATATTCATCCAATCCAATGATGGTATTCAATTCAATCAAAAAAATAATAAAAAAATGATGGTATTCAATTCAATCAAATTCCCAAAGAAACAAGATACAAGTTGAATTATTGATATTGCACGACACCAGTGACAATCATATAGCAGTCCCCACACTCATCAGATCAAAGCCAAAACCACAAAACAATAACATCATTATCGAATGTTCCCTATCGATCCTAAATCAATAATCTCCTCTTTTTTTTTTTTTTTTTTTTTTTCTCGACATCAATAATCTCCTCTGAGATATTTTTTTTCTTCTTCTTATAAATCAATAATCATAAGCCTGTCTTAAAAATATTAATTACTTGATCGAGTTAACAAGAAGAGATTACTTGGAATCAAAGGACTAGAAATATGTAACCAACAAAAATTCAGAAAACTATACTACTGTTTAAGTCTTAACAACTCCTCATGTAAATATGTAGTAGAGTAGAGAGCCACACGTCTGTTCCTAAAATATGACTGGGTTAGGCCCATTAGATAGATAATGGGCTTAATTTTGGATTAGATTCCTTCTACCTTATCCTCTTCCGACAGAGTTTAAGATATTTGAATAAAATAAAAAGAATAATAATTTAACTTTATGTGTGAGTAGCCAACAGGATTGGAACGAAAAAAAAAGAAAGTGAAGAAAAGCCAACAGTAACGCGTCAACACGTGGACGGCAGATTACTCAAAACCATGTTAGCTTTGGACTCCAAACCGACCCACTTGTCTCTCACCTTTTCATCTTAGCGAACCTTAGCTTCGTCACCGAGCCTCACTTTATATATTACTACTTCTTCCTCCTCATCAGAACCTATCCGTTTCGCTTTTTTTCCAAACTAAAAAAAAAAAATAGTTTTATCAACTTGTGCAAGCAGCAGCAGCAGATATTTTCTCGGCCAAGGTAAACGATTGATCTTTTTGTTCTTCTTCTCGATCAGTCATGAGTTTATCTTTTGAAGTTCGTTCGGTTTTGATTGATGAAATGAAGTGATTTGTATCTTCTGGTGTTAGATCTTTGTGATGATCGTTTAGCTAGTTATCAACATAGGTGATGATCGGATCAGTGATTTGGTTTATCTTCAGATCCTCCTGATTTCAAACTTTTACTTTACTCAACTTCGACTTCGAGTGATCTTTATCGGAAGTTTTGTCGTTGCTGCGTTGATTGATCGGATAAATATAAAGATCCAATGATTGTAACTCTATGTGCAATGATTAGTTAAAGCTATGTTGTGATTGAGCAGTTGGATTTGAATTTGATCTGAACTTGTTTTTTTTTTTTTTTTTTTTTTGTGTGTGTGTGTGTGCAGATCTTTAAGAATGGCGATGGTATCAGGAAGACGATCTACTTTAAACCCCGACGCACCTCTCTTTTTTCCGGCAGCTGTAAGACAAGTGGAAGACTTCTCACCGGAGTGGTGGCAATTGGTGACAACTTCGACTTGGTACCATGACTACTGGATCAGCCAGCACCAAGGTCCAGATAGTTTCTATGACAACGGAGAGATTGACAACGGTGGAGGCCAGGTCGATGTTGCTGATCTTCTTCCAGAATCTTTTGATTTCGATGACATGGAAGATTTCTTTGACACTGATGCCTCTGACTTTGATCAAGGATTCAATGGACAAATGTATTACCAAGCACCTTCCGAATTTGGTAAGTTGGTTTATTTCTCTCCCCAAAACACAAGCGAATCCACCAAGATCAACAGATTTGTGGGAGACTAATTGTTGTTGCTCTATCATCATCAGGCTTAGGAAAGAATGGTGAGATGGTGAGGAAATCAACTGGAAACAGGAGTCCCAGATCGTATGCTGAACCGGCCAAGTATGCGGAAAAGCCAGCGAAATGGGGAAACCAGAGGGTTGCTGCTCCAAGAAACATCCACCAGCCTCGCTGAATAAGAGATGGTTTGGTATGTTAACTAGTCAGAAGTCAGAGCAGTTTGGTCTGCGTCTTAGCCACCACTGTACCTTTGTAATTTTTAGTATTTGCTTCCACAAAAACAAATCTGTAACTTTCTACCTTTATGATGTTACATTCTCAACTTGTTGTTATCACAAAAATGTAAAAATCATAAAAAAAAATGTAAACTTTGAAGAGATATGAGAAGTAGAGTTTATTTCCATTAAAGCTTTTACCAAAGTCTGATTCAATTTGGCTAAAGAAGAGGCCAAGTACAGTTACATACAAAGCTAGTTAGAAAGATGAGTTTGGTCATACTGAATCCGTGATGGCTACAAAGAAGCAGTTGTCAAATGTTGCCTTGCCTTTAAGACAAAGAGAAACCAAATCTTATCCCAGACGCTCAGGTGTAGAAACTTTTCACGTCCCAGTTACTGAAAGGACTAGAAAGGTTGGTGGCCAAGAAAAGGATGTCGATTACATCATAGTGATACCAACACTGTTACTCATGCAACAGTTTTATTGATTTTACAAGCAAAGACGCAATAATGCTTAGATCATACTTTACCAAATGAAAAGAACTTGCGTACTTCAACCTGTGTGTCCAAATCAGTGTAATACGCTGCCTTTACCAAGTGAAAGAGCTTGCGTTTATTCAAAAAACGTTCCAAAACGCAACGCGTTGGCTAGAAGAACAGAGATTTTATGTTATTTCCTTCTTCCAAGATTAATTTTCCTTTAAAGCACTTAGATATACTGTATATTTGAATGACATAAACCTATTCCGTATTTTATACTCGTTTCATTTTCCTGCAAAGTAAAATATTTGAAAGCCCGCTCTAAATTTACCATGGCGCCAAAGAGAGCACCGCCGATGGAGTCTTCTTTCTAACCTATCGCGGAGAACTCGAAAAGCCCTCGAATTTTTTTTTTTAATTCTTCCGATACTCGTGTCAATTGAAGGAATCGTCGTGTGTATTTAATTTGATTTCTCTAGGTGATTACGAGGTCGCTTGTGAATCCGGACCCAAAAGCTTTGAAATCAAATTTCCCAAAAACACCAGAGTGAAATCCTCAGGTTCGTCTCTAGAATCTGATTATTGTCTGTTAATCTTATGCGGCTACTAGCAAAAATATGCGTCGCAAATGCTAAAGGTTCTCTCTTTTATGTGCTTTAAGTAGTTCATTTTTTTATGTGCAGAGAAAGATACAATGGTTTCTGCGTATCCGAAAGAACACATGTTTCTTCTACTTAATCCTCGGGATGAAGATGGGTTTACCAAATCTCATCTTCAGGTAAGTGGTCTCTGACCAAAGCACTTGACACTTGATTTCTTATGAGAAAAAAGGTATTAACTTTAGTAACTTAACTCATTCAGGATGTGTTGAAGTTATATAGCAAAGAGTTGCCTGACATGAGATACGCTTCAAACACTGGGAAACAATCTGCATTTCTTGAGAGATGTGTCTCTAAAGGGTGAAAAATCGTCTCTCTTTATCATAACACTTTCTTTACTTGTTTCAACTTGGACTTTTGTTGACACTTCTTTTCCCTGTTTTTTTTTCACTGAAATCATTGCAGAAAGTATTGTTCATTGGTTTTGAAGTCCACGCTTGGTGGAGTCTCAGATGAGGTAATTTACCACCTTTGGTTATTTTCTTTAGTAAGTTCTTGATCACAAGCAGCTTAGGCCCTGGACGAATCTTGAAGATATGAACTTCTCACAATTTGATTAAAATTTTAAAATTATGCACTTGGGAGTTTGCTATTTCGTTCCAACAAGCAGAATCTGTTGTTTTTAATCAGCCAATGCTTTCAATTTTTGATTGTCTGCTTTACTGCATCTCAATTGATTATTTGGCGTGTGCTATTTGTAGATCTTGGCTGCAATCACCTATCAAATAGTCCCAGCTGATACACAGTATGCTGAGATACCTCTTGCTGCTGTCTCATATACACACCAAAAAAAGGTTCGTTTTGCTCTGACTCTTGGACACTTCCTGTTGTAAGTCACCATTTAAACTTCTGCATTCCCTCTACTGGCAACAGTTTGAGAATGCTTAGCCTAAGGTCTTATGTTTATTAGTAAATGTCTAGATCTTTCATACTTGGTTTAAGTGTTTGGAACTGTACACTCTTTTCTCTTCTTTCTGCAACTGGTTTGAGACTTTTACCAAAGATTGCTTTCTAGGATCCTCATAAAAAGTAAATCAAAACGAGATGGGTTTTAATTAATGCATTTTCATTTCTCAGGGTTTTGGTAAACTCATCTATGAAGAATTAATGAAGAGACTCCATAGTGTTGGCATCCGAACTATATACTGTTGGGCAGACAATGATTCTGAAGGATTCTGGGTTAAACAGGTAATTATAATTATCACTATGTTTATTATTCTTGGAGTATATCTTATAGTTTGTTACTTTGGTAGATGCAAAATAAAATATCTTCTGATGTTCTTGGCTGTGCGGTTTCTTGTAACTCTTTACGAACTCTTCAGGGATTTCTAAAATTAGCAGAGGTAGACCACAAAGGAAAAGCAAGGAGGATGCACATTAAGTCTAATATTCGAAAAGCCTTGTGTTTTCCCGGTGGTTCAACTCTCATGCTTTCTCATTTGAAAAAAGAATCTTTCCTTAATCCTGCGAACCTTGAGATTCCCTCTTCTTGGAAATATGTGTGTGAGGAATCTCCACACTCAGCAAGAAATAATTGCACAGGTCCTCTGGCTGGAGATTCAGTTAAATTTGGAGAGAGCTTTGGCGAAAGCGTATATCTTGACTGTAAGCTTTTGAACTATTTTCTATGATAAAACCCTTATTTTGTTTCATGTGTTTTTATCAAATAGCCTAAGAGAATGTAGCTATGAATAGATGAAGTAACTCACGCAGGTTCCTTTTGTGTAATACAACATTGTGAAGCATTTGAATATGTTAACAAACCACTGAAATATCTGTTATAATGTGCCATAGGTCTCTCTGGTATCAGAAGTCCAATAGACTCGAGCACAGGAAAAGAATCCAACAACGTGATTTCTGATCAAGCTACCACAGGTGATAGCGAGACCAAATGTTCCACACCAGGGTTGAAGAGATCTTGGGAAGCTTCACTGTCTTCTCTGCAATCCAAAAGGATTAGGGCAAACCAGAATAATGACTCTGAGAAAGACGGTACTTCCTTTAAAGTGGATATAACTAAGGATTCTCTGCCCACGATTCGCAAAAGAAACGATGTTGAACAATGCAGAGCGGTGACTGGAATAGGCACGGAAGGTTGTCCAAATGGACAACGCTATAGAATTTTGTTGATGGACATTTGTGATGAAAACAAGAGAGCTTGGTTAACAGAGGTATCTATATATATATATATATATATATACTTTCTGTGACATGTGTTCCTTAGATGTGTTTTCTATTCACCTTATGTTGTCTTCTGATTTCTGTGCAGGAAATAAGAAAACTTGGTGGTGGTGTGGTCTTGGATGGTACAGTGAGCACACATATTGTCACTGGAAAAGTCAGGAAAACTCTGAATTTCTGCACTGCTCTTTGCTCTGGGTTAGTCTCAAATATACTGGCATCATATTAGCCACTGTAAAATTATGTGTAAAACCATAGGAATAATGCGGTTTATGGGGCCATCATACTTGCTTGCAGGGCTTGGATAGTATCACCAAGTTGGTTGAAAGAAAGTGTCCGAGTAGGAAGATTTGCTAGTAAGATGAGATAAAAACATCTTATGAATGATCTATTTCCGATTGGTACTTACTTATGAATTCTAATGCTGACACTATCCTTTTCTTTAATAGATGAAGCTTCACACATACTGCACGACGAAGACTACCAGTTGAAATATGATACTGATCTAAAAAGCACTGTTCTTAGAGCAAAAGCCAGACCAAACTCTTTGCTTAAAGGATATGAGATATGTGTTGGACCTAACATTGAGTTACCGATCAAAACTTCATCTGCTATCATCAAATCTGCTGGTGGAAATGTAAGTATTAGTTTGCTAGTCCTTTCAAGTGTTCCACATTTGTTACCAAAACATAGTAATATTTTTTTAGGGAAATCTGCAGGTGATAAATGGGGTGAAGAAGGTAAAGGAGACATCAAAAACGATATACATAGGGTGCGAAGAAGACACAGTGGGGGCATTGTTTGCAGCAAAGAAAGGGGTTTGGACATTCAGCAGCGAATGGTTAATGAACTGTGTGATGAAGCAACAACTTGAGCTTGAAGTTCCTCAGTTTGTTGAGTCCCTATGATCATCTTTAGCTTGGAAAAATTCCACATATCTTTTTATTTTGGGGATTTATTATGGAAATGGTAGAGTCATTGTCAGAAGTTGAATGATCTATTATGTATATAAAATAAAAAATGTTTTACATATTTAAAACGAATTTTGGCTTCCGTTGTAAAATGTTTAATGGATTAATTTAATTGACTTGTTCAGTTTTTGGACTAAACTTGAATGCCATTTTAAGTAAAAAAATCCAAGACTAATACCAAATCACCCATTTAAGTAGTAAAATCCAATAAGTATTTAATACAATTAATAAGCGCGAAGATAAAAACGGCTCCTTTATATTCATTCATTCAAAACACCCTTTTCAGTTTCGAAGTTTGTCGTCTGTCTCCCTCAAAATCACAAACACCTCTATACAGAAAACTTTTTGCTCCATCCTCACATGGCGGATCTCTTCTCCTCTTCCTCCTCGAAACCAACTTCTTCATCATCTTCTTCGTCAAGGCTTTTCTTACTCATCACCTTTCTTCCTCTTTCCTTAGCCTGCTTCGCCTTCCTCCTCCAATGGCGAGGCGGAATCAACGATTCGGTTACGCAGTGGTTCGAAGATAACTACAAACTCCCCGGGATGTCCACCGTCGTCGAGAAAGGAACCCTTCGCACTGATTCGAGCTGCGTTTCTCTTCTGGGTCAGAGCCGTACACAATCGTTTCCTTATCTCCGACATTGGAAGCTTCCTCACAAGCCAGATCTTAAACCTAAGGTTACACCTCTTGGATCCAATTTCGGGGTTTTGAAAAAACCTTAGACTTTATTCATTTTGATGAGAAAAACAAATCGGAATTTGAAATGCTGAGGCTTGATTCATTCGGATGATGTTTGTGCTTGTTCAGATATGTATAACGACGAGTACTTCTGCTGGGTTAGAGCAGACACTGCCATGGATTTTCTTTCACAAGGTCATTGGAGTTTCAACATTTTATCTATTCGTTGAAGGCACTGCTGCTTCCCCAAATGTCTCTCGAGTTTTGGAGACCATCCCTGTGAGCTTTTTCGAGTTTTGTTTTGTTACATTTGATCTGTTTCTTGAATCCTGGTTTTGTCTTTATGTTGCCTTCTAATTCCCAGTGAGATTACTTGATTGCAGGGTGTAAATGTTATATACAGGACAAAAGAATTAGAAGAAGAGCAAGCTAAAAGGTATTCTTTGTGTTTTGTTTGCCTTAAGTTATTGGATATAGAGCCATCTAGGTAGAGAAATGAAGGACATAACATAAAGGAACCAACTCTGGTTATTTAAACAGGGCCTAGACACAGTTGGTACCTGATTGGTGTGCTTGTGTTTAGTTTCCTTGCATCTTGATATATCAAAACTGAAATGGCTGTTGTAGAGGTGTTATTTCCTTTCATTAATTTGAAGTTCCATCACATTTTTGTTGGTTTACAGCCGGATTTGGAATGAGACTTGGTTGGCGAAGTTTTTCTACAAACCGTGTAATAACGAATTATTCGTGAAACAAAACTTGAATATGGAAATGGGTATCACTATGGCAAGGGTACTTGTTGCGTTTGACTATTCAGTCAGCCAGTCACTAGAAACAATAATAGAACTGCCAAGTTTTTCACATTCTCTCCTTTTGCTTTTTATATTAGGATGCTGGTATGGACTGGATACTGCATCTTGACACTGATGAGCTTGTACATCCTTCTGGAACCCGTGAATATTCCTTGAGAAATTTGCTCCGAGATGTTCCTGCAGAGGTGGATGAAGTTATCTTTGCAAACTACGTGAGTTAAAAAGTCTTTGAAGGACATTGGAATTGAGGTTTTTTCTTCGGTTTGATGATGTGGATAATTTGCAAATGTTCTTGTTTCAGGAGAGCAGTGTTGAGCGAGCTGATATCAAGGAACCTTTCTCTGAGGTACAGAACATTACTATCTTGAGATGTATGCTCCTACGAGTTTTATCTTTAACATATCCCAAAGTCTCTTTTTGTTTAACTTGTAGGTATCAATGTTCAAGAAGAATTTTGCACATCTTCCTAAAGATGTTTACTTTGGAAACTATAAAGAGGCAACTCGTGGTAATCCGAATTATTTTCTAACCTATGCAAATGGGAAATCTGCTGCGCGGATTCAAGATCATCTTCGGCCCAATGGTGCTCATCGATGGAACAACTACATGAAGTACCAAAAGTATGTTCTTGGCCTTACTTGGCTTAGAGATAGACATCCCTTCTCTTGCTTTCATAATCTGACATTGATCCCATCTTTGTTGTGACAGCGCCATGGAACTACCCGAAGCTGCGATTTTGCATTATACTTACTCAAGATTTTCAGATCTTACTTCAAGACGTGATCGATGTGGCTGCAAACCAACTAAAGAAGATGTGAAGAGATGTTTCATGCTAGACTTTGACAGAGCTGTGAGCTAGGATTTGATATTTTTAATTGATAATATTGTATAGTTCTTGTTCATCACATCTTTGTATTTCTCCTTTATTTTTGGCAGGCCTTCATCATTGCTTCAACTTCAACTTCAGAGGAAATGCTACAATGGTACAGAGAAAGAGTTGTATGGACTGACGAAAGTTTGATCCTAAAACTTCTTAGGAAGGGAATCCTGACTCGCATTTATGCGCCAATGGTCAGTTCCTTATAATGCCAAATCCAAAACATGGCATCCTCTTGAGTTCTTTTGATTCAACAAAGCTTACATATTTCACAGGTTATAATCCAAGAGCTAAAAGAAGCAGGTGTTTTCAGCTCAGTGGTAACTTCAGCTCACATGTCTCTCACAAGAGATAGTAACAACTCTTCAACCTCAAGTATTACTAGAAAATCATCTCAAGCAACTACGAGGAAAGTGTTAAGAGCTTAGTCTTGAGGATCTTGAATTCTTGATGGTGAATCTCAAGAAGCCTCAGCGATACCACCGCAATCATCTCCAAGCTTGGATACAATCCAAAATGTTTAGTTTTGACTTTTTTTGAAGATGATTTCAAATTTGCAGAGAGATGGTGTACATTTTCGCCAAATTTATTACCTTAGAGCAGGCTTTTTGGATCTCATTGGTCATTTATATACATTCTAATTTCTATGTATAAAATTTGATTTTTTTGTTATTTTGTTTTCTGCTGATCATGGAAACTGGAAAGCGTTTCCCTTTTATTAGAGAGTGACCAAACAGGCAAAGACAGTGGACGCGTGCATGTACGCGCGCGCGAGTGAAATTAGAAATCGCGTTTGTGAAAAGACGCTCTTTTTTTGGCGGTTCTTTTCTTCCCCCTTCTCCTCTCTCTCTCTCTCTCGCTTGGTGTGCCCTTAATTCGATGAACAAGGTTCTTCAGTTAGGTCTCCAAAGCTCCGTCGTTAATGTCGCCAAGTATGGTTCTGTCTGAATCTGTTAATTAACTCTTCAACTTGTTGTTTGCTGGATTATTGCCTCGTTGTTGTTGTTGTTCTTCTTCTTCAATTTCAGGATTTTTTTTTCTGGGTTGTTTATGTTCTGAATTATCTACTGTGTGATTGACGATGGTTCTAGGTTTCTGGTGGTACCTCTTAGGGGTTTAAGAGCTGGTTCATCCATTGTTGGTGTTAGAGTAGAAACAATAAGTATCAACAAGAGGCTTATGTCAAATGCTATTGTTAAATCTTTACCTTTCTCTATCAGCAACAACACAAGAAACGAACTCAAGATAGTTGCAGCAGCAGCTACTGATCAGAATTGCAATCAGATGGTTGGTGCTAATTTTGGGACTCATTAGTATATTTAAGGTTTTTGTTTTGTTTGCTTGTATAATTGTTGGTTTTTGATGCCTAGGGAAGTGATAGTGATAGAGATGCAATGGGGAATCTTCAAAATGATCAAAAGGAAATTGAGGCGATGACAGTTCAAGAACTTAGAACCACATTAAGGCAAGTTTATGCTCTCTTCTTGCTGCTTTGTTATTGTTGCTGTGGACATGCAAATTCTTGTGTGCTTTGTTTGAACTTGCGGAACGTTTGTGTGTTTGTGTTACAATGGTTTTGGAATATAGGAAACTTGGCCTACCTGTAAAAGGGCGCAAACAAGAACTTATCTCAACGTTACGACTTCATATGGACAGCAATTTACCGGGTATGTCATTGCACATCAAGAACACACGCGTTTCCATTTCATGCGTGGAATCACAAACATGGCACATATTTGTTTGCATTTAGTGGTCGTGTACGCTTGTTGCATTTGTTGTATTAGAATGATAATTGATTAGTCCTCAAAACTGACATAGCTTCTGATTATTTTGCGAACCAGTTAAGAATTTTGATATGGAGCTGATTAGTCCTTGACTGTTTATCAGTTTCAGATGGAAGCTCTGGTTCAGAACAAAAGGAAACTACTTCTTCCACCCGTTCAGAAAGTGTCACGATCAAAAGAAAGATCAGAAACAGGGAAGAGCCTACTGAAGATGAATGCATTAACTGTGAAGCTTCTGGCATTGGACAGAAAAGAGTAAAACAGTCTACTGAGAAAAACTCGAAAGCTAAAGTTTCTTCAAAAGCTATCTCCAAAGAACGGAAGTCAATGACGAAAACAGGTTTGTCACGTGGTTAAATAATTGAATTCTAGATAATAAATACTGGCGTCTACATTCATAAACAATTGTGTGTGCTTAATCTTCCTAGGTAAACAGCAATTTCAGTCAAAAGAGGAAGCATCATCAACTCTCTCTAGTGAATTTGTGACAACCGAAGAAATTATATCATCTCCGAGTCAAAGTGAACCGTGGACTGTACTGGCTCATAAGAAGCCTCAGAAGGACTGGAAAGCTTATAACCCGAAGACTATGAGACCTCTCCCTCTACCAGAGGGAACCAAGTGTGTGAAAGTTATGACTTGGAATGTAAATGGATTGAGAGCATTGTTGAAATTAGAGAGCTTCTCTGCTCTGCAGCTTGCCCAAAGAGAAAACTTCGATGTCTTGTGCTTGCAGGAGACTAAACTCCAGGTCATAGTTTTAGGCCTTTCTTATGTTATTTCTGCTCTATATTTTAAACATAGCAAAATTAGAAATATATCTTGTACTAAAGATACATATATATCAATGTTATGACAGGAGAAGGATGTTGAGGATATTAAGAAAACTCTTATTGATGGCTATGATCATAGTTTCTGGTCCTGTAGCGTCTCAAAACTTGGTTACTCTGGAACTGCAATAATCTCACGGGTAATAGAAGAATCTTGTTTGTTAATTCATGTTCATTTGATGTGATATGTTTAGTTAAATTCTGTGTGTTTTTTAATCAGTTTGGTCTTTTGACAGATAAAACCACTCTCAGTTAAATATGGTACCGGTCTATCTGGATCAGATCATGACATGGAAGGGCGCATTGTAACTGCTGAATTCGACTCCTTCTACTTAATAAATACTTATGTCCCTAATTCCGGAGATGGCTTAAAAAGACTGGTACTCCTCAAATTTACTGCTTTTGGTTTCTATGGTTGACAGATTTTTCAGTTTTCTTTTAATTATAACGAATGGATCATGTGGGTTTTCAAGGCATACAGGATCGAAGAATGGGATCGAATCCTCAGCGATTACATCAAAGTATTAACTTTCTTTGGGAATTTCTTTATTTTTTTTGTATGTGTCTTTACACAAGCTCAATGAACCTTTTGCATTTACAGGAGCTGGAGAAGTCTAAGCCTGTAATCTTGACGGGTGATCTAAATTGTGCTCATGAGGAAATAGACATCTTCAATCCCGCGGTAACTAACTTGAATTCTTCTTTGCTCTCTTTTTTTTCACAGAAAGCTAATTTCTCTCGGTTTTCATGCGTTTCCATCAAATCTTTTAAGGGGAACAAAAGAAGTGCTGGTTTTACAATAGAAGAAAGGCAATCCTTTGGTGCAAACTTCTTAGACAAGGGCTTGGTAGATACCTTTAGAAAGCAACATCCTGGTGTCATCGGTTACACCTATTGGGGTTATCGCCATGGTGGCCGTAAAACAAACAAAGGTAATTAAGTTTGGTTGGATACATATGCAGATTCATATTTGTGGTTGTTAAACTGGTGAAAGGGTGTGAAATCAGGATGGAGACTGGACTACTTCTTGGTGTCCGAATCGATCGCAGCAAAGGTCCATGATTCGTACATCCTCCCTGATATTAATGGGAGTGATCATTGCCCCATAGGCCTAATTCTCAAGCTCTGATTTATCCCGGGCTTCATCGTTCCTAGTTTTTTTTTTGGTTAAAGTTGTAATGGCCTTTAGGGAGAGATTCACATGTTTTGCTTCAACATAGAGAACTTATGGTTATGTGGATCCTTGATGTGTATGATACGTTCCTTGTTTTATAAGTGAAGGCATACTCTCAATTAGTAAGGCATCCTAGCCAACTAAAACCCTAACCTCTATATTTTTTTAATTTTTTAATTTTATTTATAACAAAGCTATGCCAGAGACCATCAAATAAAAGCATCAACATACATGTTTTCTAACAAATACACACTCGAACGAGATAAACACAATTGTACTTCTCTCTCCATATGTTTTCTGCCATAAAACTGGGAATCCACAGATACTCACAAGTCCTTGCTCAATAATTAGTTAATCAATCTTACATAGCTGCGACGGAGGCGGTGATGATGGGCTGAGAAGACTTGGTATTGGCAATGCCATTGCAGACATTAAAGCCGTACCAAACAGAGTTAGGCAAAAAGAGGTTGTAGTAGAAAGTGACAGATCTGATGGACGAGCCGTAGATCTTAACGTTCTCTGGTTTCCAGCCGTCGGATCCTTGCCTGAGGAGGTAGAGGTAACAGACGTCACGCATACACGGTCCTGATATCTTGTATGTGTCTGAAGAACACTTTTCAAAAGTCCTCGAGTGTGGATCGTCTAGTCTCTTCACAAACACCTGAACAACACAAGATTCGCTAATGTTTTAAAACCAAATATTCTTACTTTTCCCCTAATTTTAAACAAAATAAACAAGAGAAATTAACATGTTAAAACCTCTTTTGAGTATGCTCTGTATCACTGTATGCATTATGCACCATCACAATTACAAGTGTATACTTTAACTTATGGATCAAAAACTTAAATTTAATAGTTCAAAGTATGGGAAAGTATTGAACAAAAAAAAACAAAACAAAACCAACTTCTTTCGTAATAAAAAATAAAAAAATAAAAAAAGATAACTAACTTCTTTTAGCTATCGACTAGGCGGCGAAATCAGGAAGAGGAGGATTTGGTCAAACCTAAGCCAAGTTTCTTGGATCTCAACCAAAATAACTAAGCTACTACATATTCTGAAACCAAAAAAAAAAAAATCTAGAAAAAACTTAAAAAATCGAAGTCTATTGATTACGGATGAATTTTCTCAGTGAAGCAAATCCGATTATTAATGGAAAAAAGCGTCACCTCGTTGCCGTAGACATCACCAAAGGCAATACTGATCTTATCTCTAGTGTAAGACACCGAGGAACAGCTTGTTTTAATGATCACCGTGTACGAACACACACCCGCACCCTGAATTATTTTTTGCGATCCAAAATACAAATATTGTTAAACAAAGAATAAGAAGAAGAAGGAATCAATCAGTTGTCTCCGCAATTCATGGATCACAAAATCGTACAATGAATGAATTATCGAAGAAATGGTGTTTAAATTTACCTCTAGCTTTGGTTTAGGGAGAAACGAATCATTCGGAAGAGGTTCTGTGGTGATGAATGATCTCGCAGATGTTGTAAAAGAGCATAAAACAAATAGAAACAAAGAAATTGTTAATCTGATCATTTTTTCTTGTTGACTTGAAGTGGTCGGATGAACAAAATGGTCAGATCTTTAGTTAGTGGTTCGGAGTTTGGACCAAAACTATACAGTATTATCTTAGCGAGACCGACAACGAGGATCGATCACGCTCATATTAATAAAATGCGAGAAGTTGATGTACTTTGTTTGTCAGGATTTCATTGGCCATCTGAGAATTTACTGTCTTTTTCTAACCCGGAATTAATTGCCTTTTCATGCATTGTTTTGCACTTTTTTGCTCAATCATTATAAAAAAGGAAAACAGTAGTAACTCTTAAGGAAGGGAATATAGCAAACACAGGAGAATACATTAGTAAAAAATGGAAAGTAATCTTGTAATCTTGTAAAAAAAGAAAGTAATCTTGTAAATATTTTTATAATCCATAGACATTTTTTAATAGATTATTTCTATTGAATAAAATAATAAAAAAACAAATTTCAATGTATCTTAAACAAAAAGTTGGAAAAACTTCAATGGATTTGTTAACCAAAAGAATATTAGCCTTTTTCATTCTTTCACTAGTTATTTTTATGGGAAAAAGTCTGAAAAATTAAAGAGTGTAGTACATATATATTTTACTATTCAAACAAAACGCAAATATCTTTACACTTTTTGGAGGAGACAAACAACAAACCAAAGAAAAAAAAGATCAAAAGACAATTACGGAATATTCAATAATATAAACTCTGAATTCTGAAACATAGAGTGTCTTTATTCATTTTACTAAGTTTTCATTGAACCTACTAGTTCACCTTGGAACAAACTTTCCTAACCTCACCATCAACGTCTGTCTTTACATCAATGGAACTCATCTTAATCATAGCTTTACCAAACTCATAATCAAACCTAAACCCTAACAAACCTCTAAGACGACTCGCATACTTTTTTACCAAGGCATTCGTCTCGGCATCGGACCAAAGCCGTTGGTCCGACTCTAGAATAGCGTTGCCGTCGCGTAAGTTCTTGTAGAAACTTTCATCGAATTTCGAGGGACTGCCGATGTCAAGAGCAACACGTTTAGAACCGTCTCCATTGGGAGGACAAAGAGTCTTGAGCTGTGTGAGAAACGATGGGCTTATGGTTGGGTCGGAGTTTCCGGTCACCGTAAAGTTGTATAGACGGTAACGGAAGAAGAGACAGTCCGTTTGTCCTATTGTATGTGCACCTGTTCTCATTCAATTTTAGACATTTTTATAGTGATACTAACTACAATTGGAGGGGAAAATGTAAATATAATGGATCAGAGAAACAAATCATGGCATGTTCAGTAATCAATATAGACATGCAACTACGTTTAGTTAACTACTCTTTAAGAACTTAAGATGGCCTAATATCAAGTAATTCTCAAATGTTCTCTTTTCCAAAAAATAAATAATAGAAAAAGGATGTCTCAAATCTTTGTAAACTTCAGTTTTATAACAAAATATGAGGTTATAACAAATATACGTATAAATTTATTCTTTTCGAAAAAATTAGTTGACAGTAAAAGTTTTGTAATTTGTATCGACGTGTTAACTTTTTCAAACTTAATTATTCTTACCATCATTTTTCTCTAACTTCAAATTATTATTGAACAAAAGCTTATAAGCCTACTTAAGATAATATACACGACCAATCTACCAGTTTAGTAGTTTTCTTAATCTATATTCAGTAAGACGAGATGACAAAAAAAAAAAAAAAAAGTAAGACGATGGCAAAGCTGTTGTTTCCATTTTGATCGATCTTTCCTTGCACCAACAATCAATAAACTACAACCTTTCGTAAATAGCTTTTGCTCAAGTTTTCAAAAGAGTATCAATAAAATGAAACATATATGGTTCAATCCAACTTTAATTTTAGTCACTTGCACGATTTAACTTTTTTTCGTGTTGGCATGTGATGTCTAGTGCAGACATACCTGACCTTCAAATTTTTGAAGGAACTCTACTTATGTTTCTTCTGAACGTATGTATAGAGTTTAAATATGAAAAAAAAAATTAAATAAAGAAACTTAACAAGAAATATAAAAATAATGATTTTAAAGTTTTCATTTTATAAAAAGAAAAATATAGATTGATAAATATACCGAGTAGAGTAACGAGATCATGAGTATCCAATCCTTTATCTTGAAACTTTTGCTTTTGAACAGCAACAGAGTCGAATGGAGAAGGTAGATTCGATGCTTCCGTCGCCAACGAGATTCTCCCGTCCTTACGCCCCGTTGGTACTCGCCAGCTTGGCCCATCACTCTTGTTTCACATACATATACGACATACTCAGGTGATATATAGTAATTGGAAAAACTACCAAAGGTTAGTAAACTTGCGTACCAAGTCAACAGAGTCACGAGCTGCAAGTGCAAGTATGTCTGCGCATGACACAACTCCTGGACACACGGACTCGAGCCTGGATTTTGCATCATCGATCACTTCCATCCCTCTTAGACCGAGGTTCGCTAGAGCAGCTTGCTCCGCAGATTTCCCTTTGATTAAAACCGACCCATCACAACCCTAATAATATGTCATATATATGTTAAAAATTCAACAATCAATTAACTTGCATATATATAATTGAAACAATCAAGGAGGTGATCAAGATTAAAAAAGAAAGGAAAAAGAACTGAAACCTGAACAAAACAGTCATGGAAATGAAGCCTAAGCAAGCCAGGAGAAATTGTGGGATCAGAATCAAAATGAGATTGAACAGTGGATCTTACTATCGACTCAGCTTTTGGACATGAAGTTGAATAATAACCATTTTTTAACAATTGGCTTCTAACTTCTTTTCCCAACACCAACATGACTAATACTAGTATTATCATTACATAACAATACTTGCCTAAGTACACTCCCATTTTTCTTACTTACTCTTTTTTTTTTCTATGTGTGATGTTGCTCAATGATGCAATGATGTTCAAGAACCAACTTATATTTATATCCATTCTCACACTCATACATACATGCCTTTGTCTCAATGGAACCGTGTGGGGACACATAGTGCCTCCTTCACTTTCCTTTTACTTATGGGAATTGTTCTTTTTTTAACTGATTTTTATTGGTATATACACTTGGTTGCCACTATGATGAATTAATGGGTTTGGATTTATAATATATAGTTTTAATATAATTTTATTTGGAAAAAACACATGCGCTATCTACGAGTTCGTGATAACGTCCTTTCAAACTCTGTTTAAACCTTAACTATGTGAAGAAAAAAAAAGACAGTTAAAACAACAACGACAACAAAATAAGACCTTTCAAAATTTCTTTAAACCTGAACTTAAAAGAAAAAAAAGAAGTTTAAAACATCGACGAGAACAAGATCTAAACGTCGTTTCAAAATAGTTATGATTCGTTTGCTTTATTAAAAGCGTCTTTGATCACTCCTCAAACTTTAGCAATCCATGAAGTAAGCAAACGTGTTCACAACTTAGTTCAAATATAAGCCGTCACTATTTCCCCCCGTTCACATCAGCCTCTCTCGTAGTTTAATCTCAATCCGTTTCATTGTTTTTTTTTATATATATATTAGTACTACCAAAAAAAAAAAAAGGATCAAATATGTGATTGAGATCAAATATAGAAGGAAAACGAATATTAAAAGGACAACGAATCTCAATTCAATTCAGCCCATCTTGATTGGTATAATATACTAGCTATTACAATTACAAACACCTTCATAATGAAATAAGAAAGTTTCGATGATGCATGTAACCCGATCGAGCAAATACAAGTCGTGAGCAAGTTTCCATGTCTGATGGATCCTCTTCATCTTTTATATATAAAAAAAAGGTTTGTTGAAAATTGATCATGAGACTATACCATATAATATAACTCTATATTATTAGATAGTCTTTTAAATATGAATTATAATTTGTCTTGCACCAAAAATAAATGAATTATCATTTGTCAATACATTATCTTAATGTCATGCTGATGTGTTGCTACAAAAAATAATTGTTAAGAAACCTTATTTTCATGTTGTGTCACCTAAGTTATTATTATGACATAACATAGGGGTCGGGGATGGTCGTTGATCTATTTTTTTTTTTAAGGTTCCATTGGGTGACACGGTGTCGTAGTGGCGAACATTGACACGGTGTCGTATTGAGGGACGTGGCAAATATTAATTGGTCTTTGTGACGCAAAACGGGAATTGCGCTAAATAATCAATCCTTTCTCAGGCAAGAGAACGAGTTTTGGAGTCAAAATCCAGAGCGCGGGTAAACGAAACGAGCCAACAAATCCGTCACCACCATGGCAGCTCGTAAGAGAGCTTCTTCTATGTCGATTTCCAACAAACCGGATCCGGCGGAACCCAACTCAGCGCCACCGGTTCAGAAGATGACCCGAAAGACCGTCGGTGAGGAGTTCCGTCTCGCGCCGCCGAAATTGGGAGTGATCTTTGTGATCTCTACTCTTCTCTGCTCTCTATATCTATACCTTCTCTGTTTTCACTACAAGGTCGACTACGAGCTCAAGCGCTCGATCCTAATTAACGCGGGGCTTAGCTTTGTTGGGTTCTTCGTCACGCTCAAAATGATTCCTGTGGCTGCGAGATACGTTCTGAGGCGTAACATGTTTGGGTTTGATATCAACAAGAGAGGCACGCCTCAAGGAGATATTAAAGTGTGGGTTTTTATTTATTTTATCTACCTATCTACTTGAATCCACTAGTATCCTCTCCTTTGTTCGTTTGATCAGCTTTAACTAAATGGCTATGTCATGGCAGGCCTGAATCATTGGGTATTGTTGTGGGAATTGTCTTCTTGATCGTGGCTATAATATTTCAGTATTTCAATTTTACTGAAGATTCAAATGTAAGTGTTTGCTGTTATTATTATGGTGTGATTCTCATTATCGATGTTTCTTAATCTGGCTAATGACTCTGTGTAGTGGCTTGTGGAGTATAATGCAGCACTAGCATCTATTTGCTTCATGATCTTGCTTGGATTTGTAGATGATGTCCTTGATGTCCCCTGGAGAGTGTTAGTTCAATTTCCTTTCTTTTTTCGTTTGGTAAAAATTCACATGCGTCCTTTTTGGTTTACATTGTTTTCTCTCTTGTCAATTTAAACGATAGGAAACTTGTTCTGCCAACTTTTGCTACTCTTCCACTGCTGATGGCTTATGCTGGGCATACAACTATTGTTATACCCAAACCTCTAGTTGCTTATATTGGCTCGGAAGTGCTTGATCTAGGTAATGATCAAGTTACACTCATTTTATTCTACTGGTTGACTTCCGTAGTTATATTTTTGGAGGATTATGATTAGCTAAATAGATGTTTTAACGTGGCAGGACGGATATATAAGTTATACATGGGGTTACTTGCCGTCTTTTGTACAAACTCTATTAACATTCACGCTGGTCTGAATGGCCTTGAAATCGGTCAGACCGTTGTTATTGCTGCTGCTGTAAGTCCTATAGTCATAAATATTGTCTCTGAATTCCTCTCTCCCTGTTTCTTTTTGGGTTTTAAGAATATGATACATCCCTGTCTTTTCTGTAGATCCTGATACACAATGTCATGCAAATTGGATCATCCACTGATCCTGAGTATCACCAAGCTCATACCTTCTCGATATTTCTTACTCAACCACTGATGGCCACATCCTTGGCAATGCTTGCTTACAATTGGTAAAACCCCTCACAACTAAACTTGTTTGTATAGTATTTTAGTGGAAGTGATTTTTTTCCTGACCAGTTCCCGCAATCTTCTCCTGTTAGGTATCCTTCTTCAGTGTTTGTAGGAGACACTTACACAGTCTTCGCAGGAATGACTATGGCAGTTGTTGGCATACTTGGTCACTTCAGGTATACTTCCCAACCCACTTATCTTCTCTCAGGCTTAGGAACTTCACTATTACATGGAAACTACCAACTCTCAGATTCATCATTTGCATCATGTATTCCAGCTAGTGCATGAACATGCAACTGATTCCCTGCCATCTTTCTTTCCTGAAACTTGCTTTTGCAGTGAAACCCTCCTCATCTTCTTTCTTCCTCAAGTTCTGAACTTTCTATTGTCGCTTCCTCAGGTTTATATCTACTTTTACTCCTGTGGCATACTTAACTCATGTTCAACCATCTAACATACTATGTAATAACTCTTCAGCTTGCTGGCATTGTGAAATGTCCGCGCCATCGTCTCCCGAGGTAACCATCTTTGTGTTCTACCTTTTGTAGATTAAAGAACAGACACATCACTCTTTTTTTTTCTTTTGAAAATATCTAGGTATGATAGTGCCAGCGGATTACTTACAGGCACAAAAGATGGGACACTCGTCAACGTGTACTTGAGGTTGTTTGGTCCTAAATCAGAAAAGTCTCTTTGTATCCATCTTCTCGTCTTCCAGGTAGTTCTCAGATAGATGTATATTACCATACATATATAATGAACTAATTGCTATTTGATTGTTTCTATTGCAGGCTTTAGCGTGCACCTTCTGTTTCATACTTCGACACTTTCTTGCCGGTTGGTACAAGTAAATCTGCAACCTGAAGAATCTTTAGATCCTCTGTTCTTCAGACAAGTTACAAACACAGAGCATTACTTTGGTTCCTTGTACAATCTAATGACTAATATAGCGACGAAATTTTGTTAAAATCTCATGTATATCTTTTGTTAAAACGCAATGGCAAAGTTTCAAAGACAACCTGATATTGTATAGCTCCCGACAAGATATCAATACTGATATGATGAATCTCTCTAAAAGGCTAATCGCTGAACCTGGAGTACAATTTGTTTTGTCCCGGCACAAATATGAAAAGCGAAACTAAAGATCTACGTCCATTGTTTCTTTCCCTTGTTTCTTTCCCTTCGTCTTCATCTTCACCATTTTCACTGCTTGTCCAAAGCTTGATGGTGCGGTCATGTGATACAGTTGCAATACATGAGCTATCTGCAGCGATATCGGCCAGGAAGTAGCCTTCTTGTGGTTCATATTTCACTTGAGACACGAGGTTAGCATGAGCTGGGATGCTGTACAATGACTTCCTCATTCTTAGATCCCAAATACGGCATTGATTATCCTCACCACCAGATGCCAAGTGATAGCCATTAGGAGAGAAATTCACTGAGAGAACCTGGAGAAGCATAAAAAGCAGCTGAGATTTAGACATTTGGATAATGGTTAGTAAATAAGAGAACAAAAATATAATCTTACAGGTCTGATGTGTCCTTGGAAGACAAGAATACTCCTACCAGTGCGGAGATCCCTAACCCGAGCGAGTGAATCAAGCCCACAAGAAGCTCCATCTTGTTGAAATGCAATTCCATATGTGACGTTTTTGCAAAGTCAGCTCTACTGACTTATAAAACAGGTCGGTTTATATTGGGCCTTAAAATAATGGGCCGTATTGATTCAAGTATCATGTTTTTTTGGTTGTCTACTGACTCATGCCTTTTAATAGTGTAGCAAATATTTTACTCTCTTTGATTTTGTTATCTCTAGCTTGTTGGTTGTGTTCATGTTTGACAAGGCAATACATCGTAGGTCCTTTAGCTATATTAGTAGGTTTTATAATATCATAATCCATATAAAGTTTATGTATTCTAGTCGCTTGTTCATTGTTATATACTTGTCTTTTTTGGTTATACATGTGGTATTTTTTTTTTGTCTTTGACTTAACCTTTCTATTACCTTAAATGAAGATTAAGGGTCGTAAACGTTTATCGTCATACCAATACAAAAAAAATAAGGGGAATGGGTTTGGTTATACTAGTAAAATACTATTAGAGTAGCATGTTACGATAAAACTATTATATAGCTTGATCTTTTTGCATTGAATGTTTCACAGTTTTAGTTTGTTATTTTCGAATATTCTTATATGATTCTCTTACAAAAAGCATGATTTGATCAAGCAACTGGTAGCCTTTCTATCATGTTTCAATAGGAGTATAGCTAATTCGGGCAATATTCCAACATAAATCTGAAACGTGACATGCAAAAAAAGTTACGAATAGAAATGGTGACCCTTACTGTTTTACTATCAGTCACACACACACATATATATATATATATGTATATATATTGATTTTTCTTTCCAACAGTGATGGTTTCTTTTCTAATATGTCTCAAAAGTTGGCCAACCCCACAAACTTTTTCTCAGACAGTGTAGTTAGTTTTATTTTGGTGAGTGGTATCAATCTATCAGTCAAATGAGTCAGTCTGAGATTCAAGATATTGATCCTACCATATCATATTAGTAACCACGTGGCGCAAGCCAAGGCATGGGTTTGAGGAGGGGTCCCTTTACTGCATAGGGCTCGTGACATTGCTCTCCAAGAAAAAAGTGGTTCCACTTTGTTGAGACTTTCAAGCACAGCCTCACTCTTCTTCTTCTTCTTCTTCTTCTACTACTTCTGGTTCCTAAAATGTTTGTCTGCTCGATTTCTAAGTCATTTAAATGTCTTTTCGTGTTGTCTCTCAAGTCCTTTTCTTCCCCGTGTTTGTTACTTACTTTCTATCTAGTGCAGTGGGTGAGGAAATGGCTCCACTTACCACGTGAAGATAGCTTGAAGATAACCCGCCCTTTTTTTTTCTTATATATGTTTTATAACCCTCTATACACAATAACTCACTTGTCACTATCGTTTGAAATATTTGGGACTTAATTATGCTTAATCATTCCTTGTTTTGAATGTCTTACCTTAATTCTAAGATCATGTATATTTCCAAGATTTACTAGCTAGTTCATTGAACTTAATTGCACAAAGGCTCTATACTTTGAATCTTGTTAGTAAAATTTGCCTTGTACATATATTATTTCATTGTTCTCTAAGAAAAGCAGTCACAGCATATCTTCTAATTATGTGTCCCTACGTCTTCAGAATTTGTTCTACGAGGTACTTATTATTCCATTTTTTTTATTCCTTATTTTTTTTACTGTTATCGTTTGTGCCCACTAACACACAAGTTTAGCTTTAACCTACTCGTTCACATATGATATGATCATTGTTTTTATTATTATTTTCTTAGTCTAATCTAATAGTTTCTCGACCTTAATTATCGACAAAACTTGTTATATGGGGTGTAACATTATGTCTCTGAAATGATTATGTTACAAACTTTATGCAATTGCTTATTATCTACATATTTGGTTATTTCTCCATATATTATTTAATAGGGGTCCGGAGACGACTGATTTGTCACAAGCTGATTGAGTCTCTAATTAAGACATTTTAAAACAGTTCATGAGTTGTTGTAGAAGACTCTCTGATGGTGTTATACTATGTAGAGATGTAGCTTTCTTGTGATGTAAGAGTACTCTCTCAAATCTTGAAGTTGCGCATGCAGAAGATGGTCACTGTCATTAATCTAAGGGATCACTTGGCCCTGGCCTTCGTTTCGTTTCAAACCTTTTTCCCCCTTTGCAACCAAAATTCAAACTTGTGAAAGGGATAGTGTCTGCCACATGTTATTTAGAGAAAACTCAATTGTTATAATTTTCATATACCCTTTCATGACTATTTGGAGCACAATTGTTAGAGAATACCATACTGTTAGTATTCTCTTGACAATGAAATTTAAAGAAAATAGCAAAGAGGTGACCTAAATACTTTTTTGACGACTCTTTTATTTGTCACATAAGTCGTATAGTTTTTTTCTTTAACATGCTATCTTCACCAGGGGGTAATTTTTTGTTTCAACTCCTCGATAACAATTGGCACCAAAATTTCATTTACTTAAATTTTAATATTCATCAGTGTGTTTGTGAAGTAATTTAATCTTATTATTAATAATAATCGAATTTTTCAGTAAATTTGAAACGTATTATGTCAATTATCTGGTAAACTGGAAGAATATGGGTGTATCTATTTGATTTGACTAGCTAGTAATATTAAACCAATAGATTACAACCATTTGGCTATGAAATATGAATGACATTGTAACTTTAAGATATACCATTATAACTTTGCAAATATATACTTTTGTTAAAATTGTTTATATTTGTTTTCCTCACAAGTCACACCACAATGAAATTCATGATGGAGCCCGTTGGATTTGTAATCCCGACCACATAATATGATTTAGGAAGAGATTATGCCAACATATTGCTGAGATTTTATCTCTTCCAATCCAAATACATTTCCCCCAAGGGAAAAAAGAAAATCATATAGTAAAATGAAGAATGGAGTTTGTTTGTCTCATCATACTTTTTGACAACAACAAGCTTATTTTTTTTAGCTCTCATTCCATGTTTAGAAAAAGAAATAATAAAACATATAAGGAACACTATGCTAGCCACAACTTATAGTTTTTTTTTTAATAATCTATAGGAACTTATATAATATACGTATTGTAGTAGTTTCTGAACATATATAGCTTGTATCTTGTAATATGTCACAAACTGCTCAATCACTACTTTTATTCACGTTTAAATATATCTTGTACGTAAATGTTAGAATCGATCGTGGATTGTTGCACTTCTACTCTATAGATGAACGGACCATGCATAACAAGTTTCTATAGATGAACGTACCATGACAAGTTCAAAACCATGTATGCATGTGTGGATACAAGCTAAAAAATCTGGATTTGATCTAATGGATTTATAGCTATAACCATTAATAAAGGAGATATTCCTCTACAAGACACAAGAAAAGAAATGGGGTTAGATAAAATATATAATATGGTGCATTGCACTAAAACCACATAAAAAATATGATTAGAATATAAAAAAGCTTTATTTTGTTCACACAGTTGGTCTTCTTTTGGTTTCTTGATACTCCAACAAAAACGATCAAATGCTATAGTTTTTGCTTGAATATATTATTAAGAAAAGGACAAGTGCTGTGTATTATATAATGAATGATCGATTAGATATTCGAAAACAAATCTTAATGAATGGTTCTCGCGCTCAGAAAAAGGTTATGTGCAGTATATTTGATTACTCCTATGGGGCTATGGTTCTACAGTGATTATAGCATAAAAAGGAAAACGAATCATACCTCTATATATAATTATATTTAACGTTTAAATAAAACACCTACTCTTAACTCATGTACAAATTGTGGATTAGTGACAAGTTTTGGCTCACTGAGACTATGTTTATCGAAAAAACTTGTGACTAGACTAGTGGTAAGGTTTGGCTAATGAGACTCATTCCTTAAGGAAATATATTTGACATTTAAATCAGATTATAAGATTGCTTTATATCATCAATGAGCTGTGGCCAAAACTAGCTTGGATGTTACTATACAAACTTGAAAATGATAAAGTGGAGAAGATATATATAGTGAATGTTATGAGCATTTCGAGCTATATATTCTAACATGCTAAAACACATTCATTAATAGACAAACTAATTTGTTTTCTTCCCATAAATAGACACGTAATTTGTCTTCTTACCCTAAATAGTAAATAGACGAACTTTATATACAAGTAAAAAAGCATATGTTGAAGATTTGCTTGGAGGATTTCTTTGCATTAATTAACCAAATGAAATCAGAAATAAAATACTATATTTGTTTGGTGATAATGGGAACTCTTATTAGGGTCTACATCAAAAGTTATATTTTTTTCTTGACACGGGTGTACAACAACACACAAGCTATATATATAGGCGAATTGGTAAGTAGGCTCAAGACCTAAAAATAAAAGTTTTGAGATGAAAATTGCAAAGAAGAAGAAGAAGACATATAGTTTTCTGAAACGAAAGAAAGATAATAACTCATCACTGCAGAAAAAGGTGGTATCTCTCTATAATAATTGAAGACAATTGTAACCTAATGTCAACGAACTAGCCAATGAGCCCAAACTCCACCTCGACTCCATTCTATCTTGGGACCATTTCTCTCTCTCTCTCTTTTCTAATATCAATAACTTGAAAAATTGAGACTTCTACAACTTTTTTTAACACTATGGTGAATTGGTGGTAATGGATCCTCCTAGGCGTTACTTGGGAATCTCGACTTCAAAATGCGGCTTAAGAAAAAGTAGGAAATTCAGATACATGTATCAAATAGAGAGTAATGATTACATTAATACGTTTGTGGATTCGTAACCTTATTGTTTTTTTTTTTTTTTTGCGGCAATGGTGGTGGTGGTTTAATATTCATATTGTGCTCATCATGATGCCACTTAAACAGTCTTAATGCTCAACTATCTTCTTATTTGCAATCTTCACGGCGATTTACCTGTGAAATTAGAAATAAAATTAAAGAAACTTTTAAGTGGAAAATGACACTACAATGAGACCTGCAAAAACTCGACAAGTTTGCATTAAACAACTTAAAAAGAAATAACCCACAGAACAATACACTTTTAAAGAAAAAAAAACCCCAACAACTTTGTGTCACTAAATCTATAGAATGTCAATAATGTTGCTGTACGGAAAGGGATTCACTTGGGGTCTACAGAGATTCATGGTGTTCTTTGATGATGCACTGATTCTCTATAACAAGAAATAGGAGAGATACACCATTCATCTTATCCCGAAGTACTCGATTTTTTTTATGATATACTGATCGGTATAAGTATAGCAGGAAGAGAAGAGAAGGAATTGTTTGTGCCACTAGACTAAAATGCTCTGTTAGTTACAGGGGTAGAGATAAAGTTTCTTCTGTGTATTTGTCCACTACAGCGACCAAAGGTATTGTGAGCTACGATTACAATAACAAAGGTGAATAAGCCAATGCCCCCAATAATTGGGACAATGTAATCATGATAATATAAAAATAATAGTAAAGCAAACAGAAAATAGAATGTAACAATGAGCAATGAACATTGAAAGGAGGTGCTTCTTTTATTCATGGAGAAAAGGAGTAATAATGTTGAGACCACTGGTTTTCATTGCACAACAAAGTCACATAAGACAGATACACGACGAAGGGTAGTTATTCACTGCAAATCTATTGACATAATTGGTCACTGTAAACTTTTTGCTTCATAGACTCCTGTGTGACTCATTATATCCTAAGATCTATCTGTTGGATGCCACTTACTGTATTACTAATATAAAGAAAGTAAAGTAGAAGAAATCATTTAACATCTCACTCGTAAATTTCAACACTCCTATTCAAATGACAAGAATCAATACCTTTTTCCATTTTCAATGCCTCCTTTGTTCAAACTGTCACTCCTCATTGCCATCTTCTTCAGCATTTGCTTCCATTTTTCCCGACTATGTAAGCAAGGCCCCTACATCTTTCAAGCTCACAACAAATAGAACATGATGTAACTGGAAGAAACAACACACATACACACAAAGTTAACACTATACATACATTATATGTGACTATCTCTATGTTTATTTATTGCAAGTAGCACAAAGTGGTGTTGATTTTTCCTTTTTTTTATTAAAATTCTGAGCAAAGAACACATATCAACTCCAACTAAGACCTAATTACTCGTGAAATAAATATCATGACAAGGCCTTACTTGGTCTTTCAGGACCACCAATAAGTACATATACCATACAATCTTTTCTCTTCCCTGTTCAGTATGTCATGCTGACAGTTAAGACTTTTGTAATGAGATAACACAAAGCACTTAAAAATGCAGCTATGGTGCTTTTTTTGTTTCTTAAGCAATTTATGGCAAGCGAGGATACACATGAACAGTACCACGGAGACAACGCGATCAGAATTTTTTTTTTTCTTGAGAATATGAAAGAGGAAGCTTGGTTGCAACATGTGTTTAGGACAGCTCTGTATCCATCCTGCAAGGAAGAGTAGCCAATGTTGATGTTTGGTCCTAATGGGTAATTTACTTCCAAGCTTTATAGTCAAATTTAAAATACTGCATGAACTGACAGGATCAAATGATGCAAAATGGTCCCAATAAGCATGATCCAATGAGGTTACCAGACTGGGTGTAGAGGATGGTGGGCAAGGTTGTCTTCTCTAAAACTGAGCTCAAGTACAATGAGACCCAAGTAGGGGCCCTAGCGTACATGCTCTGACAGTAAGCGTAGCCAAGACACAAACTTCTAACAAGAAGAAAAAACTGTGCAGTAAAACAAGAATTTTTACCTTTTTATGCAGGAAATCTAGGCAGGGAATGTATGTACCCGAGATGTGAATTATAAACCTACCATTAAAAAGATGAGAATTAGAAGTTAGAAATACTTTCTTTCTAGTAACTTTCACACTATATAATATGAAAAAAATGAAATAAAATGCCACAAAGATATCTTAATTTACAGCAAGAGACAAAAAAGTAATGGCAATCCAGCTATATAGTGAACACAAAGTATATGACTGTACCGCCCAAACCTTTCCTTTAAATTCCCCTTTCTACCTCTTTTTTTCTTTTCCTGAGAGTACTCTAAACTTCAAGTTTACCTCTACTATTCTCATATCATTCTGCCTCTTTTTGCAATTTCCCTCAAGAAAAGTAGAAATGGGACTGACCTCATCCTTACAGTTCCGTAGACGAAACAACAAGACTTTCCTCAGGATTTTCATGTTCTTGGTTCTAAGCTGTATACCAGGTAGAACCAATCTTTGTTCCAATCATTCTGTTAGTAACCCAAAAGATTTACCTCCTTCAAATCCTTCAGATATTCGTTCTTCATTAGTTTCACTAGATTTGGAGGGCTATATAAGTTTTGATGATGTCCACAATGCGGCCAAGGACTTTGGAAACAGATACCAGTTACCACCTTTGGCAATTCTACATCCGAGGTCTGTTTCTGATATTTCATCAATGATGAAGCATATAGTACATCTGGGCTCCACCTCAAATGTTACAGTAGCAGCCAGAGGCCATGGTCACTCGCTTCAAGGACAAGCTCTGGCTCATCAAGGTGTTGTCATCAAAATGGAGTCACTTCGAAGTCCAGATATCAGAATTTACGAGGGGAAGCAACCGTATGTTGATGTCTCAGGTGGAGAATTATGGATCAACATTCTACGCGAGACTCTAAAATACGGTCTTTCACCAAAGTCCTGGACAGACTACCTTCATTTGACTGTTGGAGGTACTCTATCTAACGCTGGAATCAGTGGTCAAGCGTTCAAGCATGGACCCCAAATCAACAACGTGTATCAGCTAGAGATAGTCACAGGTATGTCGTTCATGCTATAGCTCTATGTTAGTCATTAAAAGTATGCTCCTGTAAAGAATATGCATCTCTGCAGAAGCAAAACACTGAAGACTTAACTAGTTTTTGACTCTAAACAAGTGTGCATAGGCACAAATGTGAAACATGCACGCACACTTGAAACTTGTAGCAAGAAAAAGTTATATAAACAATATATTTCCAATATTGAATCAGGGAAAGGAGAAGTCGTAACCTGTTCTGAGAAGCGGAATTCTGAACTTTTCTACAGTGTTCTTGGCGGGCTTGGACAGTTTGGCATAATCACTCGGGCACGGATTTTTCTTGAACCAGCACCGCATATGGTAAGGTTCTATCTTGAGCATAGCTGCTGGAATATGTAACTACTCAAACTATATACGCCAAGATTCTAAGCACCAGTTTCCTGATATCGCAAAATGAATTGTAATAGGTTAAATGGATCAGGGTACTTTACTCTGACTTCTCTGCATTTTCAAGGGACCAAGAACATCTGATTTCGAAGGAGAAAACTTTTGATTACGTTGAAGGATTTGTGATAATCAATAGAACAGACCTCCTCAATAACTGGAGATCCTCATTCAGTCCCAACGATTCCACACAGGCTAGCAAATTCAAGTCAGATGGGAAAACTCTGTATTGCCTAGAAGTGGTCAAATATTTCAACCCAGAAGAAGCTAGCTCAATGAATCAGGTAAGATATGAAAGCAATATATAATGAAATTTAGTTTCTACAGAAAGCTCTAGATCAACCGTTGGTTGCTAACATAACGAATGGTTGCCCTGCAGGAAACTAGCAAGTTACTTTCAGAGTTGAATTACATTCGGTCCACTTTGTTTTCATCTGAAGTGCCATACATTGAGTTTCTGGATCGAGTGCATATTGCGGAGAGAAAACTGAGAGCAAAGGGTTTATGGGAGGTTCCACATCCCTGGCTGAATCTCCTGATTCCCAAAAGCAGCATATTTAGATTTGCTACAGAGGTTTTCAACAACATTATCAGAAGCAACAACAACGGACCTATCCTTATATATCCAGTCAATCAATCCAAGTAAATGAGCAAAATGCCAAAACCATATATGCTTACATTGATTCATAAACATAAAATTACTAACCATCTCCAACATGTTTTTGGTTGCAGGTGGATCAAACATACATCTTTGATAACTCCAAATGAAGATGTCTTCTATCTCGTGGCCTTTCTCCCCTCTGCAGTGCCAAATTCCTCAGGAAAAAATGATTTGGAGTACCTTTTGAAACAAAACCAAAGAGTTATGAACTTCTGCAGAGCGGCAAATCTCCATGTGAAGCAGTATTTGCCCCATTATGAAACTCAACAAGAGTGGAAATCACACTTTAGCAAAAGATGGGAAACATTTGCAGAAAGGAAACATGTCTACGACCCTCTAGCGATTCTAGCCCCAGGACAGAGAATATTCCAAAAGACAACAACAACAACACACTCATCTCCCATCCAACTCTCTAAGTCAAAGGAAACAGGGAGTCCTCAAAGGTACCACTAGAGCATCAGTACTGCCAAAACCTAGAACTGTATAAACACAAACGTAAAAGTTTCCTGTGTCCTTGTAACGGCTCAGGCTAGGCAGCAAGAGAGTGAAAATTCTTTTCTTTATTTTTTTTTTTGTTTCTTTTGGTGAACAACAAATTTTACAGTCTGAAACAGATTGGAACATCTTATAGGATCAATCCTACGCAGTATCATTACATTGGAGTCATTATAGCAGGAAATAGCTGAGAACAAAAAAAAACAAAAATGGTCCAAAAACACTTAAAATCATAATCTTTTACAATAAAATATTCTCTAAGACCCTTGTCTAGTCTTAGCAAACATTTTACAATAGCTCAAAAAATCTCCAAATCAGAACTCACGAACTATGAGAGCAAAGCGAGTTACCGTGAAGAATTGACCTCGGAATCTCAATTGAGTTCACTAGCTGCGGGAGAATGCAATCCTCCATCGTTCTTCTCCAATCTCTACCAATGAACAATTAATCAATATTTGTATCAGCCAGCACCATGGTTAACCCAATTTCTCACGAAGGTTGCTGAAAATTTGGCGCCTTTCCGCCATGAATAGTCCCGAGGAGCATAGAAGAAGCTTTTGTGTGTCTCTCGTCAAATGTGATTTCAAAATTTCGCTTCGTTTGGTACACGAGTGAAGTAATGATACACACGTGTGTGCATTTTTTATAAGTATTATTTAATTTTTTTTTTTTGTCAAACGCAATGTCCCCTTCTGCATCAATATTTCAGATGCGAGCTTCTCCCTCCCACAAAGCATTCAGACTTCTTTCATTGTTAAATCACAAGGCCCGGAAGTTCCAGAGTACTTCTCACGTTCAAACTGGCACTTGGCAAACTGATACAAGGCCTCAGTCTGTTTAGTCATATGTCAGATATGTTGGCACTGTGGCCAAACACACTGCAAATTTGGCATTTGCCTTGATAGCCCTTCGAGTTATTGTTGCGACCGTCGTTTCTCTGCCCTTGGTATGTCTGCTTCTGTTGCGTGTTGTTGTTGGACCAGGTTTGACGGTACTGCTGTTTATTTGATGAATTTTGTGGTCGGCTGTTGGCAAGGTTCGCAGTGACTGGGATTTCAGCAGGTGGAGTTGATGTAGCGAGCAGTTTTGCCTCTTTGTTGAGCAGCTTCTCATGAAGTTCTGTGAGAGATGGGGCAGTGTCACGGCCTTCAATTTGATCCACTATGTTTTTGTAGTCTTCTGGGAGTCCTCGCAAGACGTGTTCAATCTGCTCATCGTGCTCAAGTGGTTTACCAAGTAGTGTCAGTTGATCAAACTTGGTTGAGATCGTCTGGAAATACTGGTCTATGCTCTTGGTACCTTTGACGCAGTGCTCGATTTGGGTTTTGATCTGTTGCACATGTCCACGACTTGGTTTGGCGTACGTGTCGGCGAGGGTGCGCCAGACGTCATTCGCCGTTTTTGCTTTGGAGAGCGTTGCTTGAATGGTGAGAGAGACGACACCAAGGAGACCACTGTAAATGAGCTTGTCTTGGCGCTTCCATATCACGAACTCGGGATTGGTTGTGGTGACGCCATTGGCGGTGACTGTGGGAGGAGGAGAGGGCTTGGATCCGTCGAGGTGGCCGGCGAGATCGTAGCCGTCAAGGAGAGCGTGGACTTGCAGGCTCCACATCATGTAGTTGTCCATGGTGAGCTTTGTTACACTCGACATGTTGACATGTAGGATGGTTTGCTGGTTGATAGCAATAGCTTCTGGTTGAGTAGCCATGAAAGCGAAAAGGAAGAAGGAGAAGAGGAAGAGAGGAAACAGAAGATGGAAGAGAGAAGAAGAGAGTAGAGTGGCGGCTAGAGAAAAATTTTAGGGTATCGATGGCTGTGATACCATGTAGAGAATGTATTTTCTATATTCCTCATGAGAGAGTACATTCACAAATATATACAAAGGGATGGAAGGCTCCTAGGTTAAGTAATTACATTATGTTCCATAAGAAGAGATATATCATATCAAGACACTTAATAGGTTTCCTTGTATTGTCCTTTACAGGCTCAATACACTCTTGAACCTCAATTTCGCATTGGAAACTACAATTATATAAAAGCCTAAACCCGAGGGGTCAAACCATAGTTCTCTTTGATTTGCATCACAGTTGCAATGCCTTTCTCTGTCTCTCCCTCAAAGTTTCAAAGACGACAACGGAGATATATGGCAGTTTGGAATGGAATATTTTATTTTCATACATTTACCAAATATTCCTGTACCATTTGATTCTCCCCCAAACATTTATAGCAAAACAAAACGATCAGTCATGCCGACAGTACTTCATCTGAATCTGCATGTAGTCCAAAATCTCTTAGCCTAAGCTTGGTAAATGAAACACTAATCTTTGTGTCTAAAAGGTTCCTGTCTTATACATTTATGTTCTTCTGTCTTGTTGAATGAGGTATGAAGCAAACATGGATTTATTATTATAATATTATTGTAGACAAAAGAGCACACAGAGCAGTTACTGAACACAACGACATTACAAGTCTATTTGCTTTATTGATACTAATACTTGGACAAAGCCAAAGCTGGTTGCCAAGTAGCTGAAGTGAGCTATAACTTAAGGGCTTGAGCATGGTGACTGATGTGGTCTTCGATGAAGGTGGCAATGAAGTAGAAGGAGTGGTCGTATCCTGGATGGAAACGCAGTAAGAGCGGCGCTTTCACTTTCTTGCATGCCTCCTCAAAATTTGTGGCCAATAACTGATCAGGGTAGAACTTGTCGCTTTCACCCTGCAGCATTGAGCCAAAGATGGTTCAGGCTCCACGAAAAGTAAGACAGAATGACAGATAGCCAGCAAAAGCATAAAGTTTATGGATCTTTACCTGATCGATAAGAATTGTGGCAGACAGATTGTGGAACTTAGAAATAAGACAGGTGGCATCGTATTCCTGAAATTTCCAAAAGGAACTATGCATCAGACTTGGGAATCGGATATAGTGTGCCGGCTGTATGCATACTGGATTCTATCTAGGTTGGTTTTACCTCCCAAGCAGCCTTGTTGTCACCTAGATAATTAGTGAATGCCTTCTGTCCCCATGGACAATTTATGGGATTGGCAATTGGTGCAAACGCAGACACAGACTGTACATGTCACAGACCAAGTAATTTAAGTAAGAGAATGATACTAGAGAAACAAGTATTTGGTTGAAGCACATTTATCCACCCTCATGAATGATATTTATCTTTTGATATAAGATTCCAAGTCTTAAGGAATGTACTCAAAAATATTTGGAAGTAAAAAATACCTTGTACTTATCAAGGTTCTTCAGGTATATAGTAAGAGCTCCATGTCCACCCATGGAGTGTCCAAATATAGATGCATTTGTAGTGTCAAGCTGAGAAAAGTTTTCACTCAGGATTTTTGGCAACTCTTTGACAATATAGTCATACATACGCCAGTTCTTCCACTTTTCCTGAGTGGCATTGAGGTAGAATCCAGCTCCTAAGTAGAAATCAAACAGGAAAGAAAGAAAAGTTTATCATCCTTCATTGTAAGAATGACCTGAGTACATATTAAGACCAAACCAAGAAATCTGAAGCCACAACTTTAATTTGATCAGAAAAAGAAGTGCTGTAATGCAAAGCATGTAACGTTGCATACCTACACCAAAGTCATAACTGTCTGCTTCTCCTTCAACATTTAGTCCTCCTACAATATCAAAAGCAAAGCAGAGTATTGAAAAAACCCAGGGAAGATGATAAATCAGAGTATAAACATGGCAAATCAAAGAAAAGAAAAAACGGTTGGCTCACTTGGGGAAGTATCTGGAGCAACAAGAGCAATGGCGTGAGTAGAAGCAGCACGTTGAGCCCCAGATTTGATAATGAAGTTCTCGTCCGTGCAGGTGAGGCCAGAAAGCCAGTAAAGCACCTGTCAAGTGTCAACCAACAAAAAAGGAGAATCATTTATCTAAAAGGCCAATCAATGGTTCTGCTGAAGTAGCATGCTTTTTGCATCCCAACATAAATCAAGGCAATAAAGAATCCAAAAAAACAATCATGCAAAACTAAAGTTTTCTTCTTTACAACAATACGGAAGAAACCCACAGATAACAGTAGCTGAGAAAAGTCACAAAAGAGCCCTTATTTACTGTAGAAACAAATCAAATCTCTACATAGGAACATGAATCGAGAAACCTACAACAAGAAATCTAGGATCAAAGTAGTGAACAAGAAGGGAGATGATAACATACAGGAGATTTATGGGAAGATGAGGCAGAAGGAGGGAAGTAGATGGTAAAGGTCATAGAACATCCTAGTGTCTCACTGTAGTGTTTGTATCTTTTGTTGTAGCCATCAAACATCTTCGTGCTATCGATCTCGCTTAGTCCACGCTCCATTCTCTCTCTATCTTGCTCACTCTCTCTCTCTCTCTAAAAGTAAAGTGTAAAAAGTTCAGAAGGAAGAACAGAAGCAGCGGAGAGAAACGATCGAAGAAGAGAGGTCTATCGGTTTCTACAGTATACTAGAGCCCATATATATCTTAAAACATTTTGGCCCAAATACTGGATCTGGAAAGGCCCATTAGATCAATTAAGTCTAAGGAGGAGGTAATAGTCAAGACTAAGAGCCTCTTTCTCAGGCAGAGTGTTAATTTCATTCAAACAAAAGATGTACAGTAGTGGGAAATCAATTTCATTATAAAGTGTATATACATTACATAGGCCGCATAACACATGGACTTTCTTAGGCGGCCCTATCATATGTATAAATATTTATTTGTTTTTCGGTGTATAATAAATGCCAATATAAGCCATAAATGTTGTTCAGATTGAGAATTCACAAATCACAATCCAAAAAATAAAATAAAAAAAATAGATAGAGAAAACGAAGAAGACTGATACCAAAAGAGATGGAGTTATATTTATTTTTCTTGTGCCATTAAATGAGTGTATACGAAGTTAGGCACCTTCCCTTAAATATACAGAGCCAAAACCAAAATTAATGTTAGAAAAAAAAAAAAAAAAAAGTCTCTCCCTTTCCTCAACTGTACCAATCAGTGCATATACAAGTCCATTCCTCTCCCTTTGCACATAAGCTTTTTGCTCTTGTATTTAATTTACACACACTCATCATTTTTATATCTGCATGCAAGTTTTATTGCTTTTGATACTTCCCAAATCTTCTCATGCGTTTTTTACTTTCTTGATTTGGCAATACTCATGAGTTTATTTTGTTAGAGAGATCTTTCTTTATGGTTGCCGACACGAAAGGTTTGTTCTTGACTTGTGTTTTTTTATATCTGTTAATTGGAGAGTCTAGTTTTTGGTAGATGAACAACTCAAAGACGGAGCTAACAAAGTTCTTTTTTTTTTTGGGTAGTCCATTATTTTATTCCATAATCTTTCCACTGATTTTTCTCCACATTGTGTCTTGTTTGTTTATAGCATTACTATTTAAAGGATTTTATCTATCTCTATGCATAAATGTCTGATTTCTATGTTTTGCCCCTTTCTTACATGGCAGAAAGAAGCTACAACTCAAATCTTGTTTGGTGAGAAAAATCTGAGTTAGCGAATCAAGAAAATATTATCTTAATTCTTTTTGGAGCAAGGAGTTGGTTTTGATCGGTAACGCTCAAGTTGGTCTCCTTTTTTTTTTCTTTTCTTTTTAATCCAACTTGATTTCTTAGTTCTCTATGATCCAAACCCATATATAAATCTTTATAAGTGGACTACATAACCTCCAGCAAAATCATTTCTAGATATTTGTTCATTGCCTTTAGTTTGTTTGAATTTTTTTGGTGTGGACTGATTGAGAGAATGGTGGGAAGCATTGAGGCCAAGAGCCTGCAATCAAACGGGTCTGTTCATCATAATGGTCTTAATTTGGAAGAGAAGCTTGATGAATTTCGTCGTCTTTTGGGAAAATCAGACAAGGATCCGTTGAGGATTGTAAGTGTTGGAGCTGGTGCTTGGGGAAGTGTTTTTGCAGCACTTCTTCAAGAAAGCTATGGATGTTTCAGGGATAAGTTTCAGATCAGGATTTGGAGAAGAGCTGGGAGAGCTGTTGATAGAGCAACTGCAGAACATTTGTTTGAAGTGATCAATTCAAGGGAAGATATCTTGAGGAGACTGATAAGACGTTGCGCTTATTTGAAATATGTCGAGGCAAGGCTCGGTGATAGGACACTCTATGCGGATGAGATATTGAAAGACGGGTTTTGTCTTAACATGGTTGATACGCCGCTTTGCCCTCTTAAGGTTGTGACTAATCTGCAAGAAGCTGTGTGGGATGCTGATATTGTTGTTAATGGATTGCCTTCAACTGAAACACGCGAAGTGTTTGAAGAGATTAGTAAGTATTGGAAAGAGAGAATAACGGTGCCAATTATTATCTCTTTGTCAAAGGGTATTGAGACTTCCCTTGAACCAGTTCCACATATCATAACTCCAACAAAGATGATCCATCAAGCAAGTAAGCTTCTTCTTGATTTTGCTCTTTGTTTTTTGTAGACTGTTTTTACAATCTTGCTTAGTTTTCTGGAACCGGTTCTTGATTTTGGTGTTTGTGGTAGCTGGTGTGCCGATTGAAAATGTACTGTATCTTGGTGGACCAAACATTGCTGCCGAAATATACAACAAGGAATATGCCAATGCAAGAATATGTGGAGCTGAAAAATGGAGGAAACCACTAGCGAAGTTCTTAAGACAACCTCATTTTATTGTTTGGGACAATAGTGATCTTGTGACACATGAAGTAATGGGAGGCCTCAAGAATGTCTACGCCATTGGAGCTGGTAAGTTTCTGTGTGTACAAAAGATTTTGAGTGATTACCTCGGATTTTCACGCTTTGATCCTTCGCGTTATATTTTTCAGGTATGGTAGCAGCGCTTACTAAAGAGAGTGCTACAAGCAAGTCGGTGTATTTTGCTCATTGTACATCTGAGATGATATTTATAACTCATTTACTAGCACAAGAGCCTGAGAAACTTGCAGGACCTTTGCTAGCTGACACCTATGTGACCTTGTTAAAAGGGCGTAATGCCTGGTATGGTCAAATGCTGGCAAAAGGGGAAATAAATAGAGACATGGGTGATAGTATAAGCGGGAAGGGAATGATTCAGGTACTCAATCTGTTGGAACAAGCCAAAAGAAGTTTGAAACTTTTTGGAATCTGTTTTGCTTATGTGAATCAGGGATTTTTGTTGAATAGGGTGTTTCTGCAGTGGGAGCCTTTTACCAGTTGCTTAGTCAGTCAAGCTTAAGCATATTGCCCTTAGAAGAGAAGAAACCTATAGCCCCGGTCGAGTCATGTCCTATTTTGAAGACACTCTACAAAATACTCATCACAAGGTATATATGAAATCTGAAAGTTTTCTAATCTTCCAAAAAAGTTCAACTTTTGTCAGTCAGATGTGGTGTGCCATGATCTAGCTTTCATGAATGTCTTGGACTTTGACATTGAATCATTAGAAACTTGCTTCTTCAATTCTATAATGAATTCTTTTGTTCAATTTTGCAGAGAACAATCAACACAAGCTATTCTGCAAGCCTTAAGGGACGAAACATTGAACGATCCCAGAGACCGAATCGAGATTGCACAGAGCCATGCATTTTACAGGCCTTCCCTTCTTGGTCAGCCTTGATTACTTAATGGCTTTATAATCCAAACTTGTTGAATCTGATTGCGAAAAGATACAACATGAATTAGGTGTGCAAGCTGCAGATGCTTCACTGATACATTATAGCTTTAATGGGAAGGGTAGTTTCATATCCGTAATATCTTTAAATGTATTCATGTTTAGTTTCTGTGTCAATTCAATCCTTGTTGTATCATTGCTTTTATGATCGATGAGAGCTTTATTTGCTCAAAAAATTTACTAGTAGAAAGAAAACAGACATTTTTAGTTACTAAACAAATATCAGCTTCATTATCCCAATAAACATCCTACTTTTAGCTACTTTGAAACATTGCTAATGTCTGTACTTGTAATCTTGTACCATAGAGTCAAAGAAACAAAGAGAAGGGACTGTTTTGTAAGGCCTAATATTAACTATACCAGTGAGATCGGTTATGAGTCCATTCTCTGCTTTTTACAATCGGTTAACTGGGGTTTAGGCGATTGGTCAACCGCTGAAGCAGGTCTTCTTTCTTGAGCTTATAGTAATGCGTTACTTTCAGCTCCTTGGCTATGCTTCTCAATTCCTTGCCTGTCTTGTTCTTCAACTCACTTGCTGATAATGATATCACTGAGTCACGTCCGTCTCTCTGGTTTCTTACGTCTATTGAATCAACCAATGAATCTGCTTGCGGTGTAGGAACACTTGATTTCCTGATGATCCCAGGTGCCGACTGGTCTAACTTTTTAACTGGGTCAATAATGATCTTTCTAGCTCCACCTTGTACTTTCTGCTTGATGTTTCTGATGGAACTTGTGTTCAAGCCTTTATTATTGCTGCTGTTAGACTGTCTCTGCCTCTTCTTTATCAGGACTGACCCAGGATTCAACAATGCATTACTCTCTGCCTTTTTTCGTGCCTCAGTAAGCAAGTTTATGATCAACTCATCTTTAACAACAGTCTTCTTGGGTCCAGGGTGTGATTTTTTGTTTCTCGCATCATATGGGAGTTCTCTGCCTTTGTCTGGTTCATCACACATTTCTAAGAGAGACTCTGTTGTAAAAGGTTGAGAAACAGTTACCATGACTTGTAAGCTATCACTTTTCTGATGATCCTTGAATACTTCCCCATCTTCGTTTGAAGCGTTTGCCTTTTCCCCCACCTTCTCACTGGTCTCTAAAGGAAATGGTTTCAAAGTGGAACCTCCGATATTCTCTCTGCTTATAGCAGATGAAGATTTGTTCTCGGGAGCTTGTTTTATAGGATCAAAATCCGTAACCAAGGATGAACAAGAATGTTCTTCAGCTTCCTCAATCTTGTTTGCCAACGCGGGACTAGAAGAAGTATCGGCATCTTCCGCAACCTGTCAATCATAAAAAACACACAGCATTTTACTTGAAATATCCGAGCTAGTGCTCATAATGGGTCTTTAGAACGAAACAAGATTCCCATGATTCATGAATCCAGAAAAGAAGAAATTTGTATCGACCTCAACTGTTAATGGATCATTTGCTGCGGTCTCCTGAGGCTTCAATCTAGTTTCTGGCTCTATTTCTTGAGTGTCGTTACTAGAATCTCTGGTCTCAAAAGTTTGAGCATCGCTGATACTAGATGTGTTTTCATCATCATCATCAAGAAGAGATTTAGAAGAACTTGTAACAACAACTGGAAGAGTGGCACTGAGAGTCTTGTCCTGTAGAACAACATAACAAGTTATTCCTAGTCAATCTGTAAAAAGCAAAACAAAACAAACGAAAATTAGAAAGTCTCTTACAGAATCAGAAGAGCCTATAGCATGCGAGTCACCACTTCCAGAAGAAGCCGTATCATTCTGAAGCGAAATTGCATCCTTGTCAAGTTCAACGATTACAACATCTTGCTTCTTCTCGTTCAAAATCCGCCACACTTTCTCACAATATCTCTCGTTCTGAAAATGTTCCTCGAGCACATCTAGAAATCATCGAAATCCAAAAAGCAAAAAGAAAAAAAAAAAAGAAGGAATTTTTCTCAAAGAGAATCTCACAATCGAATGCAAAACAATAAAAACAAGATCCGGAGGCATACCTGTTCTGCAATCAAACCAAAATTCACAACCACGCAGGGTTTGCTTACGACAAGTATCGTCTTTCACAACTACAAAAAGTTTTTTTTTGTTCAGTCTCACATGGATGGATACAAACACAGTAGAAAACACGAAATAAGCAAACAATTCATATACCAAATGGCGGACCCCAGAGATCATCATCGTCATCCATGGTGGTCACTCACAACAGTAAACCGCAAAATTCATCCTGCAAAATTTTTTAAAAAAACCAACACTTTTCAGCCCCACATTTCAAAAATTCCGAACCCTCGAAATCAAAATGCAAGAGAAAGAAAAACTTAGAATCCACTGGATGAGTGAGTTAGTCAGATACCGAAAAAGAAGAGCTTTAGTCGATCGATCTACCAGAGATTAAGCGCACTTTTTCTAGGGTTTGGAGAAGGTCGGCGAGAGAACTTAGAGAAGAAAGAGAAGAAAAAAAAGGCTGGCAGTGAAAGCGACGAACACTCTTCTCTGCAAATATAGAGTAGAGTGTAAAGTAAAGAGAGAGAGAGAGAGAGAGAGAGAGAGAGAGAGAGAGAAAGGTCGGTTTGAAACGGTGAACGGGGATGCTACAAATGTCTTTCCAAACGGAGGCGCGTGGTTCCTCCTAACCAATATTATAAAAAAACCGTTTTATAAATTAGTCAAACCGAGTCATCTCAACCGTCAGATTATTTGACTTTCTGTTTGACCACGGTCTTTGTTTTGTAAGATGGTAAATACGTTCTTCTGTGTTCGACTTACCGTACGCTCTCCGATGGATTTTTCATCCGACGGCTAGGAGCCAACATTGGTAAAACCGTAATTAAGTGGAAGACCGAGGGGTCCCGGCGAAACTTCGAAAATTGCTTCTTTTTTTTGGCTTAATAATAATTGAACTTCGAACTTGACATCTGAGAATGACGTCCGTACAGTTTATATTTTGCTTTTCCAAAGATTTTCATACGCGTGACGAAAGTTTTTTAATGTCTATACACAAATTAAAAGGTTTCAAAAGTGTTAATTGCATATAATATTTCTAGACTTTTTATAAAAGCAAAGTTGGTGTTCTTTTCCTACCATTTTTTGATATGTTTTGTTAACGTGTGCATATAGAGCAAATAAAGCTTATTTTATATTACGTTGATGTGAGAGTGTTTTCGTGCTATGTGATTTGATTTAACATGTCATCCAGAGAATAACATGTCTTAGAATTCAACGAATACGCGTTTTTTTTTCTCTCTTTTGTTTTTCCTTGTTGTTTAACTTTACGTGTAGGCGCACTAGGCAGGCGTTCATAGAGACTCAGCTTACCACAAGGAAAGATAATGATGTCTAGACATATCACATTAGTACATTACCTACCTTAATTCATGTTAGATCACGTTTACGGGTTATACACACAAAAAAAAAAAAGTAGATGTCACGATCAATAATTCTTGTGAATGTACTAATCAAAAGTACAGTTCTTGATGGATAACATGTTTTCGTATAGACTATAGAGGATGGGAGTAAGTGGAAAACAAAATTTTGATTCGTGGAAAAAAATATAACGATGTGCACTAGTATCCAAATATAGAAAACCTTACATATTTTAAATTCATTATGCGGATGAGAAAAAAGAAAAGAAAAAATAAAAAGAGAGATGAACACATAGAAGCGTTATCAGGCAGAGTTGGAAGAAGAAGGACCAGAAGGAAGCAGGTCGTAGCCATCGTGATGGTCACAAGAAGACTCTACTGGTATGCATTTGAGGATAACCGCTACAATCATGCTCAATGATCCTATCACGATTGATAGTAACCAATGTTGCCAGCTCAGAGGAACGGTGCTGGCAAACGCTCCAAGAAACTCCACTATGGTCACTTGAAACACTACGGTCACTGTCATCACCCATGTGAACACCCAGCTATTGAACATTCCTGTAAACACATTTATCTTCTCTATCTCCCGGCTATTGATCTCATTGAATACCTGTGTTACATATCCATTTTAGTTCTCATCTGTTACTTCTTTTTTTATGTAAGAGAGTTGGCTTAGTTTTTGTTCTAGTGTTTGTACCTGGCAAAATACAAAGGAGTTGAAGATGATCGTGTTAAGAACTGCTGTGGAGTCGGGGCCATCCAGTTTGAGAATTGATTTGCCTGCGAAGTTGAGGATTCCCAAGACAATCAACTGGTAAACGCTTTGACCGGCAATGTTTCTCCACATGGTTTTGGTGATGAAGCTAGCAGTTCTAGCGATTGGTGCTCGTTTCATTAAACCTTCATTGGGAGGTTCTGTTGCCAGAGCCAATGCACCCAGTGTGTCCATGATCATGTTCACCCAAAGCAGTTGCACAGCAGTGAGTGGAGCAGATCCTGTAAAAAAAACAAAGAAACGGTTATTACATATGACCAAACAATAGGAGAATGGTATTAAAATGTTTTTTTTTTTGTAGCACCTGTGATGCAAGCAGAGACGAAGTTGATGATCAGAGCAACAACATTAACAGTTAGCTGGAACTGAACAAACTTCTGAATGTTTATATACACAGCGCGTCCCCATCTAGCCACATTTACTATTGTTTTAAAGTTATCGTCCATGATGATCACATCAGCATTCTCTTTTGCAACCTGCATATCCGGAATTGACACAGAAAGGAAACGTTAATCTCGAGTCATTTTTACTAACCAAACCAGTATGAGACAAATAATTAGGGGTTACCTCTGTTCCAGCTATTCCCATTGCAAGTCCAATGTCTGCTTCATGCAATGCTGGAGCATCGTTTGTCCCGTCCCCAGTCACTGCCACTACCTCTCCAATTTTCCTCAAGTTGCTGACTAAAGTATGTTTGTCCAATGGCAGAGATCGAGCCATTACCTGAAGGTAGAAACAAGGAATTTTAATATACACATTTACAATAGACAGGTGAACAATAACAATTCATTCTATCTACCATGTATCAAAGAACCTGAATTTTGGGGATAATGGCCCTCATTTCGTGAGGAGACAAATCTCGGAATTCTGAACCTTCTATAGCTAAACCTCCCTCAGTAAATATGCCACATTCCTTAGCAATTGCTTTAGCTGTGCTTATGTTATCTCCAGTGACCATACGGACGGTGATTCCAGCAGCTTGACAGGTCTGAACGGCTTCCCTAACACCCGGGCGTACTGGATCCTTGATTCCAACAACTGCTATCATTGTATAGCCTCCATCAGGGAGATCTCCACTGGGAGCTTCATCTAGATCTTTGTAAACCAAGCAGAGAGTCCTCAGAGCCTCTGATGCAAAACCTTCTATGATATCAGAGATACTTGCAATGCGTTCTTCAGTTAATGGAACACATTCTCCACTCGAATCCACAACATTCTCGCACATTTTCAACACTATTTCAGATGCCCCTTTGCAGAAAGCCCGTGCACCACCTCCGGGAAGAGCTATAAGAACAGACATTTTCTTCTTGTCTGAATTGAACGGCTCAATCTTGAGTATCTTATGCTCTTTACGCTGTGTGGCAAAATCACCACCTAAAAGCAAACCAAATTCAAGTATTGCTCTTTCTGTCGGGGATCCTAGGATCTGAGTGTTTCCATCTTTGTCCTTAACAACTTCAGAACCAGTGTTCTGAAATATACCCTGCAAAAGAATACTCTCAACTTCTTCTGGTAGTTCTAACTGAAAGCTTTCTTTACTTCCCTCTTGCCTCTCTTGAACCTTATCACAGATCCATATTTTGTTGACCACCATGTGATTCGTAGTCAAGGTCCCTGTCTTATCAGTGCAGATGCAAGTAGAAGAACCCATAGTCTCACATGCAGCAAGATGCCTCACAAGTGCCCTATCACTCATCAGCTTCTTCATAGCAAATGCCAAACTTAAGGTCACCGCCAGTGGCAAACCTTCGGGTACAGCAACGACAATGATTGTTACAGAGATTGCAAAGTAGTCAAGTAGCGTCAGTGCATCTTCAGATGACCAGTTGTTGAAGCTACCAGATGTTGCTTTCTCCAAGACGAACCTTATGCACAGTACCACAAATGTAAGGACAGCAAAGCTTAGACCAATCTTACCAATTATTGTTGCAACCCCATTGAGCTTCACCTGCAAAGGAGTCTCATCTTCTCCACCATCAACCAGTGTTTCCATCAACTTTCCCCACTCAGTCCTCATACCAACTGATGTCACCAGCATTTTTGCAGAACCATTTTGAACTTTGGTTCCTGAAAGCAGAAAAGGCTTCTCTTTATTCACATGTGACGGTTCACTCTCGCCGGATAAGCTTGACTCGTCTATCTCCAAGTTGTATCCAGATATAAAAATTCCATCAGCTGGAACTTGATCCCCAATAGATAGATGAACTACATCTCCAACGACCAAGTCATGAATGGAGATTTCTTGTCTGTTACCATCTCTGGTGACCTGAACAATAATCTTCTTCTTCTCTCGATCCAAGTCTCTGAACTGCAAAGATTGCTTGTAGTCACTGATCGCAGTAACCATGACCACCAAGAGTATACTTAGCAAGATCCCTGTCCCATCATACATTCCCTGAGGAAATCCTTCTGTGGCAACACCCACGCCTATTGATACTACAGCGCACACCATAAGGATGATAAGGGTTATATCATGGAGCGCTTCCCAAACAAACATTAGAAACGATCTTGCTGGTTTCTCAGTGTAACGATTTTCTCCAAAGATCTTTGTCCTAACGGGCAATTCACTGGAACGAACACCTTCAGAGAGAGATACGGATACTTTCTTAGCAATTTCTTCAACTCCACCTTTGTGTGCCAGGCTCTTAGTGTCATTTTTGCGAACCATAGATGCAAGTTCATCGGCTTCAATAGAGAATCCTGCTTGCTTAACCTCATCAGTGAGCTTGTATTCCGGCCTAGCAGCAGCTAGAAAAAAATGCAATGAGAAAAGAGAAGTTAATATGACCATATAAAGCCAGTCGCCACAGAACAATATAAATCTTGCAGCATGCAAATCTTACCATCAATGAATTGAAGAGCTGCCTTTTGAACATAGAAAGCAACACGGATCTTTTCCTGATAATGAGTAAAGACAGTGAGCTAACAGATAAATCACCACTACATGGAAATCTTTGGTCATACATGAAACTAAAGAAGAACAAACGGGTTCTTTTTTTGGTGCAATCAACATAAACCGTATAAATTAGTGAAAAGAACCATCATCCATTGGTTGCTTAGTTTGTATTTAGCTTTTTAAGACAGTAAGATTCTGCTACACCAAGGTCAATTCTATCACTGATCTCAAAAAAACACAAGTAAAACTTATGTGTGTAAAATATATTGGGAACCAGGATTAACAATAGCATCTAAGTGCTAATCAATTCCTTCACTAAAAAAGATCCTTTTAAGACATGAGTTAAGGAACGTAAGCGGCAAATTTCTTTTATTCAACAGTTGGTTATAGAGCATTTTGCTTTATTTAAAAAAAGTCTGAGAAGTGATTCGATTTCAACGCTAGAAAAAAAGACCTATAGAGAAAAAGAAGAAAAGACAAATGAGCTTTCATCATATCATATCCAAAAGAATCCCAAAAATGCTTCGTTATCTGGTTTCAAAACCTTATGAATAGACACACCTGGCGAAGTTTCCTTGTAACTTCCTTAAGCTAAGTAATTGCACACAAGAAGTCAAAGAGACTGTCGTACTCGTATACCATAAGTCAAAAACTAAACAAAATAAATATGGATTCAAGGAAAACAAAAACTGCTAATAATAGATAAAAAAAGCATTATGTATTGAAAATAGAATTTCGTCCTTTGGTGTTTGGATTTAGTCGCGAAGAAGAGAAGAAACTAAAAAAGGGTCAGGCTTTAGGTGGCCTCTCATAAATTGGCTCATCTTCTTAGTAGCGACAAGAAAACATCCATTTGTAAACACAGTAGAGGACACTAGAGAAACTATACACATCATGTGTGTGTTGGCAATTGAATTGTTGTTTTCATTGCCTTGCGTAAATTGAATACATAAAGATAACGCCGAAAGAAATAATTCATCGCAATTTACATAACGTTTCCTAACGATTAATACCAAAAAGATAAAACATTACATATTGTAACGATCGAAACGTAAAAGAGATGTGTTCATGAAAATACCACAAGCCAAAAATCAAACAGTTTTCTTTAATGTTTTCGATTTTCTCAATAAACAAAAAAAAATAAAATAAACTAAGAGGGACTTTCAGAAAAGTGTAGAAAGTTGAAAGCAAATAAATAAATAAAAAAGAAGATGATAAGACACATTGAAAATCACAAACAAGTGAAGCCTTTTCACTCGTACGGATCATCAATAGCAGCCTAAAAGGTCAATGGTTTAGAGTTTTTTAATTGATATTTTTGTTCACCCAAAAAGTGTTTGTAAGTATCAGAAAGAGTTTCCATGAAAACAAGTATCATCACTCTCAGTCGTTGGCTTATGAACAGAAACTCTAAACAAAAGATAAGAAGAAGAACCTGGATCTGGTGCCTCTTGTTCTCGTAGTCAGCGAGCTTATCGAGATCCCGAATGTTACGGAAACGACGAGTACGGTTCTTCACGATAGATACAGAGGACCTCCATCGCTGACGCGCTTCCAGCGACGGGTTCTTAGCGTCCACCTCGAAATCCCTTAGCAAATTCGACATTTCTTAACCTCCCACACGTTTTTTCTTACTCCCACTCTCTGTTTCTACTGATTAAAAACTTCGCCGGCGCGAAGGAAGCTCAGCTGAGAGAGAGAGAGAGAGAGAGAGAGAGAGAGAGAGAGAGAGAGAGAGAGAGAGAGAGAGAGAGAGGGGGAGAGAGGATTGAGCTATGGTATTGGAGTGTGTGTGAGAGAGAGAGTTGCTTTTATTGGATTGCCCAAACCCGACCCAAACTATTCGGATTAGGGCCATAAATTCAAATTTATTTGTTCGTCCCCATTCGGATAATTTAAAAAGGGATCAAATCGAATGATCCGACCCGGACGAATATATAGGTTTTTACACTTTTACTTCCGTCCACTAAAATATTAGCGGGGTCTTTGGGGTCTTTTTATTTATTTTTTCTATCTCTCAAATTTTTTTTTTTTTTTTTTAATTCTCTCTCTCAATTTGAAACCTCAAGATGATACTATAATTTAGTCTTATGATGACGATGATAAGTCACGTGAGTAAACTACAGATTCACAGTAATAGATTTATGTTACCGAGAATAATGTTAAACAAGTACTACTAGTACACACTACTATTATAGTAAGATTTTTAGTGTTTTACTATGTAATTTATGCTTTGGCCGGTTATACAAATTGATGTTTGGACTTTCCGTTGCACAGCACATATGACATAATAATAATAATCAAATTACGCAATTGTCAAACATTCGGCAGTTTTAATAGCTAATCACATAATTTTTTTTTTTGAAACAAGTGACTGGAAAAAGAAGAAAAAAAACATGTTGTATATAAATTAAAAAAACCCGCCACAAAAAGGGAAGTGAGATGCGCCGCCCCGACTTTGGATCGTTCGTGGACCAGAGAGCACTTGACGCTGCCCTGCTCCGAATTTTTGTTCTCATTTCCTTTTTATATATTCCCTTTCTTCACCTTTTCATCTCACTTTTTAAGCCATTTTTCGTTTGTCGAACTAGAGACTTTAAAAAGGAATAACCCATACAGACATTGTGAAATTGTTAGAATACTTTCAAATAACAAGTCAGATTTTTTTTTTCTCAGTTTATATTTGTTGTATTATGATCAAGTTTTGATTTAGAAAAAAAAAAAACAAATACATGATGAATGACGGTGGTTTATGTAGATGTCGATTACTATTATCTAAGGACTAATCATCTGTGAAAGATCAAAGCTCAAAACCATGCTTGCTTTCAAATTCAAAACCACATTTGTTGGAAATATCAAACACTTGAGATGTACTATTTGTCAATAAATATTCCCTCAAAACATCATCCATTGCAGTTTCAAGGACTCTCTTATAGCTAACAATGCTACTCCTAAGGCATTTTACCCATGGCAATAGTATTCCAAAAAAAAACGAGCTTATGGAGTAAACACACTCACGACTTTGGAGAATGTGACATCATTGACTCAAGCTTGCGTAACCAGTTAACATACTGATCCTGCTCCTTCTTGTTCAGGTGACACAAGAGGAAATTGGTTAGACCTTCACTGATTCCCTTGGATATTAGATATCTCCGTAGTTCATTCTGTAGTTTGATATCTAGTTGCCTAAACAAACAAACAAAAATACACTGGTCACGGATATCAAACATATTCAGACACATGAATTTCTTTAACACTTTTTCCAATCTTGGTAACAACAATATAAGCAGCGACCATGAATCGAGAAAAAAAGATATCAGCTACATATATTCAATACTAGCATTCACAAAATTCACTATAACAGCCAGCTTCTTTGTCGTTCTATAAGACTAACTACTCCAAGAAGCACAAGTGTACCAATGCTTTCAGGTTTGGATGAAGTAATTAACAAGACATAAAGATTAAACCTAGTTGTTAAACAGAAAAAAAATATGCTACTAGATGAATTTTGTAAGTTTGCAATGCTAGTTATGAGCTCAATCTACCAGAGGGGATAATAATGATTCACCTGAAAAAGTCATCTCCATAAGTGGAAGAAAGAGCAGAAACTAAAGAGCGGATAAAGCAGGCTCTCTCGATGTCGAAATGAGAACATCCAGACCCTGTTTCGTAAACGCGGCAATCAAAGTGCAGGATAGAGCTGAGTCCAGGCTTTTTGATACATACTTTGGCAAGAGCTTCCCTAGGAAACATTAGATCATCATCTACTATAGGTTCTGGCTGGAGCAAAGCAGAGACCACAACCTCTTCTCCTGAATCAAACTGTCTCCTCAGAACAACATCTTGGCTTTCCGGAGAATCCCAATCCAATTTGAAATTTCCTAGTGAACCAGTCTCAACACCCTGGAGGGGGGTTCAGGCACAAACCAAAATCATAAAGCTGTATAATGTATGTACTCAAAATCTGAAAAGTCCTAGGGTTTCTGTGGGGATCCAACATCAAATTCGCCCACCCAGGACACACTCTAATGCACATCAATCCAGAAAACATGAAATTTGAAAACTGACAGAGTCAGATCGAACTAAATTTATTCAACTCAACTGAGATTACTGAGACACGAAGAAGAGGAAGAGGAAGAGGAAGAGGCAACAATTTACCTGGAAACGAGGGTGAGAGATTTCGTGACGAATTTCAGATTGGAGGATCTTCAACAAACCGCCATCTTCAACAGCCTTCAAGCCTCGTTTCAGAAGCGGATTCAACTTCCTCATCTCTATTCCAAGTCTCTCTCAAAACTCTTTCCCTAACATTTAGCTTCTCTCAAAACAACCAACCAAAGGTTACAAGGCCTAAAACGCCCACAACGATTTTGCAGAACAAGAGAGTGGAACTCAACAAGAGCCCACTTAATTTACTTCGAAGGCAAAATAAATTTTATCGTACAAAATTATGCCCGGTTCGGTTTGCAGACTTTTTTTTTATTATTTTTTTTTTTCGACACAAATTAAAAAACATGAAAACCAAAACCATTAATTCATCATAGTGGCAACTGGCAGCTAAAAAAAAAGAACAATTATCATAATAAGTAAAGTGAAAGTGAAGGCATGTATGTATGTGTGTGAGCAATGGATATAGATATATAAGTTGGTTCTTGAAAACATAATCAACAACCAGAATTCTCTGACTTCGTTGGTGGAATTTGTGTGGGAAGATAAAACAAACCTTCAAAATCCTTCCTCCAAAAGTGAGAAAAATAAAAAACCAAAAACAATGATGGTGCTAATCAAACGTAATAACCCATTATTACCCCATCAGCCTAGATGAATGACCTTTGGTACGTGTTTGGATATGTACGTATTTTAGTAATGTCTAGAGAGATGGTTAACTCTTCTAGCAACAAGCCGTTTTTTGGTTTTCTTGTGCTTTAAGATTTAGCCCCGTTATGTTTTTGGGATTCACAATCTATAAACCATTTTGCATATTAAAGCTGTTAATTAGTAAAATATATAAATATTCCTTTTGTATAGATTTGTGTATATATCACTAAGATCCCTGTATAAATTACCTTTCGCAACATAGTTAGGAATATTTCTTTATTTCACATAATATATATTATATAATAATTAAAAATAAATGCATCATAGTTTTTCCCAAAAAGAAAAAAAGAAAAGAAAATGAAACGTATATATTTTTACTGAGTAGAGCTAGCTATACTTTTACAATTTTGGTGTGTTGCGATATACTTACCGTTTATTATTGAGACAAATTCCTAATTTAATTTTGACTTTACTCTGTTTCTAAAGTAGATCCCCCTTCTATGGTGGAATGAAACCCTAGCTGTTAAGAGCCCTATATTTATATTAGCTTGTAAACTCTTAATTTATTCAGCAGCAACTTTGTAAGAGACGTATCTCTCAAAGCCCTACTACTATATATTAGTGTATTACACACGTTCCTTGGCCATGGCCCCTCCGGCTCAGAAGGCCGATGCGCATACACTCAAGCGAGATATTCACCAGTGTGCAACGGCGGTGCAAGCTCTCGCCATCCAGGAGGAGGATTACATCAATGTCCAGCCACATGAAGAATGCAATAATGAATACAACCCCTTTTCAGAAGAGCATCGGTTCAAGTTTGAACTCCCGAAATATCATGGCGGACAACCACCGGAAGAGTTTCTCGATTGGATCGTCACGGTCGAGGAGACTCTTGAGTTCAACCATGTACCTATGGAGCAACGTGTTCCCATGGTTGTGATGCGATTCCGCGGAAGAGCCGCAGCTTGGTGGACGCAACTAAAGGCACAGCGCGCACAGTCGGGTAAACCTAAAAACATGTCGTGGGACAAGCTGAAGAAGAAAATGCGTAAGATGTTCGTACCATTCAACTATAATCAAGTGATGTTCCAACGCTTGAACATGTTGCAACAAGGGCAGGGTTCAGTTGAAAAATATTCCACCCAATTCTTTTCGCTTTTGGCGCGTGTTGACCTGCAAGATTCGGATCAGCAAATAGTGGCTCGTTTCGTTGGTGGCTTGCGGAAAAATATCCGAGACCATCTTAACTTGCTGTACTTCCCTCTCACTGTTGCGGAGGCTCATCAACAGGCCCTCGCCATGGAAGCTCAAACAACTAAGAAAGACGACCACGGCTTTTGGCCAAAATCTTTTGAAGAAACAGTTGCATGGTGTTCCCTCGCTGCCTTTAACGTTTTTTTTATTTCGGCCCTTTTTATTAAATGTTCCAACGGAAGGAATAATAAAAAGAGACGGTAAGACGGCGAGAACAAGAAGGCTCCCATGCAGCCCTATCCGAGATTTGGAGTTTTTTTTTTTCCTTTTTTCATTAATTATAATTCAGCAGTGTATGAAATTTACAATTAACTCACTTTGGACTAGTACTGAAGAAGTTATGAGATATATGTCATATTATTGGGAGTATTTTGGTCTCTCTCCTTGCGTACGTTGAACCCCATATTATTATATCATGGGAAAACATGTTTTATGGGGCAAGATATATCATGTCGGAGCTAGGGTCAAAACTCGTATTATATATGTTCCCGTTTAAAACGCCCTTATACAATTAATATAGCTAAGAAAGAACGACAAACTCTGCATGTTCGTAGATAGTAAAACTTGATTCATGGTCATAATTTATTAAGAAGTCAAAAATTGCATGATGCTTCAAGTTTAAGGGGAGATTTCCAAGGTTTTGAATCCTTTATAAGCTAATGTTACAATACGTATCCTTCTCTAATAAAGGCACATATTAATATATCCATTTTATAATTAAGCACGAGGTGAAAGCTACGAGGATAGCAGAATCAGGGTCGAGAACTTGGACGATAAGCCCAAAAATATTCATAAGCATCGAGCCACCTTCTCGTACAAGTCACGGGGCCAGTTCCGGTGAGTGTTGCTTGCAAGAAACCCAGCAATCTGCGGATAGCAACCAGAGGCTCAAGTTATCATGACTTTGTAAAATAGACTCAACTAAGATTATTATGAATTTGTTAATTCATGTACCTTGGATCTCATGGCACGGATCGATCCATCAGTGTCAGGTACATTGTCCAAACACGTTAGAGCAACTTTGAGCAAGTCCGGGACACAAGTCTGGAAGTATGGTGATGCGCTCTGGAACACATCAGTGGTTGAATCGGGCACTCTTGGATCAAGATGAAGGAATGGAAGTCTTGCAATTTCCCTCAAAGCATCCACATGATTGCCTAATCTACCCAACTTGTGGATTGATAATATTGCCTCAAGCTCTCTTAGTATGGTTTCTTGTTCCATCACTCGCTCTCTTTCCTGGACACTGTTGAGTGGCAGAATAAAAACAAATCCCTTGAGCACATTTTAACTTGAAGCAAAGTAGTTTTCTAGCCTGAAATAATATACCTGACTTCAGGGTAATATTTGTAAGTCTGAAGAATGTCGTTTCCCGCGAGTATGAGCCCTGATGTTCGGCTTTCACCATCCAACCTTCCACGGGCGAGAGAACAAATGGCTTCAGATAGACACTTGTTTATAGTCTCCAAGGCAGCCGAAAATGCACCCACTCTCTTCTGTATTTCTATGGACTGGGAAAAATGAAAACTATGGTGAAAATTCTTTATAATACTAAGCTTCAGACAATGTTAGATGAGAAGTTACTTACTTTGTCATATAATCCAGCTTCCTGACATTGATGCGCAGCTTCAACCAAGAACTGCTGTCGCAATCTAGAATCAGAAAAAAACCGTCCAAGCTGACCTTCTTCACCAGAACCTCTTGCCCCAAGCAAAAAGTAAAGGCCACCTTCTCGAAGAAGAATCTCAGTCAGTAGCTGCTTCAGCATTAAGTTTCTCTGCCTTTGTTGATCCATGTTACTTCTTCCAGACCAAGCTAATTGTCCCCCACCTACAGTTGCAGCAGCCTGTGCATAATACTCTACCGTCATTTGGAGATCTCCATGATGCAAAAACATTGACCCATATTGCCTTATCATGCTAGACGCCTCAGCATTAGGATCCATCACACTTAGTTTGTGGCCTGTCCCAGAGCCTTCTGATAAAACGGAATGGTCGACTAGAGAAATAGCTATATGAACAGCATCAATATTATACCCTCCGTCTCCTGCTTCTTTGGATAAGTGCATGATAGCTGGTAGCAACTGAATGCTAAGAAGCAAAACATATGGATATACCAAGGGGTCTTTACCATTCTTCGTGTAGTACGAAGGCTCAAATTTATTGAGATAAGCCTGAAGATCATCTAAATTGTATGGTGCGAGGCCATCATTCAGGACCACAGATGAAGATCCACCAGTGACGTCCCTTATGCATGATAATTTGAACCATAAGAAATCTTCAATTGTATTGAAGAGTGTAGACAGATCCCTCAGTATGCGCTCAATTTGCCTACGGGAACCAGAAATGATGGTGTAGAGTAGAAGTTTCTTCTTATCATATGCAGTTCGACCCAACCGGTCACCCATTCTTAGCATTTTCTCACATTCTTCTGAAGCAATAGCTGCAGACTCTGCAGCCACCATACCATCGGTGGTAATCCACTCTGTAAGCTGCCACAAAAAGATATGTAACGAAATAGCTGGTTCCAAAACTATTGTATAATATACTAAGATCTAAAGTAGACCTACCAGTGGTGCAAATTGCTGAGATGAACGAGTTGACCGGGCGATTTCTCTAGCCTCCTCATAATACCCAGTTCGCAGGCAAAAATATATCTGTGGTTTGAGAGATATATATCACTCATTTCAGGTCCGCAATGTAAATATCTCAATATCAAGCAAATGGTCATGAAAAAGTTAATAATTCAAAGCACGAGGGAAATAATCCAAAACCTGTTGCCAAGTAGTATCAACAGGAGGCTGCCTACGAGCATCAGCTGAATCGAAATCTAAAATACCATAGTCTCTCAAACGAATCTGCACAGTGTATTAAACAAAAAATAAGAAAGCTAAACAGCCTTATGAACACTTTCTGCGTGTTAAGCTCTTTTTATGTCTGGGACACTAACCCGAAGGAATGCGCGAATTCTTTGCAAATTTCCAACAGATCCACCAAGAGCAGCCTAGACAAGATTAAAAAAACAGCAAGAAACATGTTAGAATGATTACCAACACGCTTGAAAGAGGATTGAAAAATCATGGAACCTTTTAGACAGGACCCAACCATTTGAAGAAGATATGCATTGAGATATTATACATATACAAAACAAACAAACAAAAGAGAAATAAAAAACAAGAGAGAAATGAATACTTGTGTCGGGTGACTCTGAATTGTGTCCATTATAAATTTCTCATGCCCACGTTGTAAATGATGTCTTGCACCTATCGCGAGGGACATCCTCTTCGAAACACCTTGTCTAACTGCGGAATCTTCACCT